AACCATTTAGAATGAGCACAAAGTATAGTTCAGGAAGATGACTGACATTTTAAAGATAACGCAAGTGTAGATAAATTTTCAACTACATTTGTTGATAAAGAAGTGCTCAAAATTTTTACCATATAGCATGCTCACATGTTGATGACTTTAAGCGCTGTTTAAATTTTTTGCAAGCGATATGGAACAAAAGACGCAACATAGATCCATCACTACCCCAGAGCCGAATCGGCAGTCAGCTGAATGAATAGCAACCGGCTACAACTGCCCAAAGTGACCAAAATGCAAATGTCATCTGGTTTTGACTTATCCTCCGAATTTTGTGGTACACACGATATTTTTTTATCCAATACTTTGAAAAAGGAAGATAGATATAATATTAAGTATGTGATAAAATTTATACATTGGTAGTATCCAATCGCCAAATCATTACAATAACAAAACTGAACAAATCACAATTTGAATTGTTTTCCCATCCACCGTAGTTTCAAATCTGACTCCCCACGATACTACCCCACGATACTACCCCACGATCACAGACTTTCATATAACGTGTAAAGCAGCAATTTAGAAGTGATTGCCAGAACTATTGCCTATTTTGAAACCATAGACAAATCATCCGATAAACAATAAAAGGTACTGAATACTCTTAAATATTCTTAATAAATCAGTACTTTTAAAAGAAATTATATTGATAAGTAAAATTCAAGTTGTTATGACATTTAAAATACAACGAATATTGCCGATTATAAACATAGCAAACAAAACCATGAAGACATGTATGCACCTATGTGTACCAGAGATATGCATAAGTTTTAACTAAACCATGGCGCTTGTGAAATGCACACAGCGTATTAATTTGACATATGTTTCGTTGTGTTCGATTGATACATTAAGCTATAAACACACACAAGTTGCGTCCTCCAAAAACTAGCGTCTTTGTTGAATATTTAGAATGATCATGTCGAATATTATACCTGTAAAAGAACAATTGCACGTGTCATTGATTACAATATATGAGACATGGTTTCGACAATTTAAAAATAGTAATTTCTATATGAAAGACCGTGAGCACTCTTTTAAACCCAAAAATGTGAAGATGGGCAATTGCAGGATGATATTGAAAGATAACTCAACTCAAACTCAACAGCAATTGGCAAAAGAATTAAATGTGTCACAGGAAAAAATCGTTGGAAGTTTACGAGCAATTGGGAGGGTCGATAAATTTAGTAAATGAATTTAAACCAGACAAGTTAAATGAACCGCAAATTAAAAGTCGCAAAGTTACTTGTAAATTGCTTCTCCAACACCACGAAAGAATGTCTTTTTTGTATCAAATTGTGATGGGTGACAAAAATAGATTTATTTTGAAAACCTGATGAAGCCGGTACTCAACACCATCTCGCTTCGTGGTAAAGCGATCAACACCCAATCGCTTCAGCTTTGTGGCTGGTAGGAGCAGATCGGTATTGTGTGCTATGAACTCTTGATGCCCGACACAGCCATTAATGTACAACGCTATCGCCAGCATCAATACATCTTCTGCTACAGTGTCCTGCTTTCGCAGACATAGACTCTCCTACTTAGGGTCACACTTTTTCAATTTACTAAGAAAGCTAGATTCTATTTCCATAGCTCGTGTCAATGGGTTTGTGGCCAGTACCAATTGGTTGTCCCTATAACCATTGTATCAAATTCTTTACGGTATCACAATGGACCTTATGGTCTAAGTGAGTCTTCGGACGACCACAGTAACCTAACCTAATCTAACCTATCGCCAACAAGTGATTAATGTATAATGGCCTCGGAAAGGCCAGAAACGTAATTTTGTGCCGTTTCACACAGCAAAATCATCCAAAGACACCTTGAAATCACTTTGATGGGGCATCCATTTGCCATATTTTTCAGGCCTGGTGTCACCTGACCTTCATCTCTTTGCATCACACGCTCACAGAACAGTAGTTTAGCAATATCGAGGAAGTTAGGAAATGACTCGACAAATGGTCTCCCGCAAAAAACAAGGATAGTAATGAGAAATAACCTAAAAGATGAGCGAAATGTATAGAAGCCGATGGATAATATTTTGAATTAAAATAAATTAATTTCTCTTAAAAATCATCTTTGTTCTTCACCAAAAAAATCTTATGCATATACCTCGCAGGTATATATATCAATGCTTATTAGAGATTAAGGAAAAACAGTTAATAGATTTTGATTTGGAACTGTTGGTCAATCGCAGGTTTTATTAATGTGTAACTTACCGATATCATTTTACAATGGAAGAAATAGAAAATAAAATAAGCATTTCTAATAAGCAGCTATATATATCAATGCTTATTATAGATTAAGGAAAAAACAGTTAATAGGTTCTGATTTGGAACTGTTGGTCAATCGCAGGTTTTATTAATCGGTAACTTACCGATTTCATTTTATAATGAAAGAAATATTTGATTATTAAATAAATAAATCTAATCGAAAATACCCAAAACTATCCATAAGAGATCGATTTCTATTTTGTCAGACAACGAATCCAACCACGAATTCTTTACTGCATAGCTGTTGTTGATGTATGTACGTATAACTTTTATCTCAAGAAGTGCCTCCAAACCTTATAACTAAACAATGGTTTGAATCAACTGTAAAAAATAGGCGAAATAGATTGTTTTAGGGACCGAATACATTTTGTACACCAACGAGATAAGAACAACAAAATCATACCTAACGACATCGTCCGTGATGTTAAAGTGAGCTCTTCGGTAGAATTCGGAAATAAAACACATATTTTAAACAAGGTATTGGATATCGTTCTAAATCATTATCTGATACCTTAACTTGGAATAAATATTTTACATATTCTTGAGATTTTTTGTTTAAAAAAATTATATTATGCTATGTACATATATGCAAGAATGTCATATTCTTGATAGAATTGAACGCTTAAATTTTTAATACAAATTCAAATTTTCATCGAAATTCAAAAATTTTTTATTGGGCACGTTTTATTAAATCTCTATTAATTTTTTTATAGCCATTCGATGAGAACCTTTCATACATGTCAATAAACTGAAAACAATCAAATAAAACAATTTGTATACGTTAAACAATGTTCTAGACAAATGCAAAAAATAGCGATACAATTAGATTATTTAACCAATTAAATTATATTTATTTTTGCTTTAAATTTGTAATCGCAATGAACAAGTTCAATTGCTATTCTTACTTTAATTTGCCATTTCTGATAATTAAATTGCTAGTTAAACAATTACAAATGAATGAAAAAAAAATGTGAATGATTGTTCTCTTGCAAATGACAAAGCAACACGTTTTTTTTGCACCCTACAATTGGCACTTCATTAATCAGTTCAGAGATATATTTGACATTGTATGACTCATCAGAAAATTAAGAATTCAGATCTTTGTATCTTAAATAGAATCAGTAGAAAAATACCGGATTATCAAATTATTCAACATCTAAGCATCACCATCTCACACCGACCTAGTATTTAGACACCTTTTTGGATTGGATCTAACACCCTAACTAGTATCCAATAAATACAAATTTATAGTTTTTATTTTTACTTAGGAACAAAAAAAATTTGTAGAAAATAATATATTAATTTGGGTAGTTTTAAATAATCTAATTATTTTTAGATTTGAGAAATACTGTATTTAAATTTTTCCTTCCCTAATTATAAGTACTTAATATTTTAACTGGCAATTGTTTCATATCACAGTAAGGATCATATTAGCTTTTCTCTAGATATAGTTCTGGACGTTGTGCAGAAAGCTTTAAAGAGCTTTGTGCAATAAATAGTGAAATTGGTACAACAGGAATCTTCTGGTCGCAGTACCGACTGTTGGGCGATTTCACGTCAAAACTTTTAATAATAAAATAATAAAAAAGAGTCATAGATATGCCACATAGTTATATCATATAGATTTGTCACATATCAATGCTAAGTAAGTAAATAAGTATGTATGTTAGTGGATGCACACATAAAGATATTTGTGAACTGTACTATATGGTATATGTATATGCAAAAACTGGTTCCTTAGTGTAATCAGTGAAAACAACGTCTTTGACTGGAAATCCTTTTGTGTTGACTTTTCTTAGTCAGCCTTTTTAATGTACGTACCGCCCCATATAAACAATCAGGGAATTTTAAACCAGGAAATTATTTCCTGCATTTATGCCATTTAGTTTGGAAGCTGACTACATGTTGTTTATATATAAAACAATATACAATCATAATCATTTTTAAAACACAGATACATATCGTCAGATGCATTTAAACTATTGTGCAATTCAAATCAGATCACTAGTATATTAGATATATATATTATAATAAATATATATTACTGCAATTTGCAGCAACCCCAGTAAATTCGTACATATATTTTATTTAATAATAATATATTTTTTTATTAAAATTATTTTATTATTATAAATTGAAAATAATAAAATAAACTAAAGTACGTCCTAATAAGTAATGCTTTCAATCTATAATTTTTCGATTTATTACTACATCTAAAGTATACACGACATCACACGACATTAAGTATCGGTGAATGTAGTTTCAGTGTACACAGGTGTCAAATCGGTTGTTTACCTTAAATAATATCTCTAAGTAGGTCGTAAACACTTATAAGCTTTTATGTGCTTATACTTGAATTATTATAGTCAAAAAAAAATCAATGTGGATTTATTATTAATTTAATTTGAGTTTGAATATGCACTAATTAAGTATATCAAGTGGTTTTTATTTTAATTTTGAACTTGAAAGACCGAATATAGTGTATCGATTACAATGTTTAAGATATGACTATATTGTGTTATATATTATAATTGCTAAATCTGTCTTCACCTTATCATCTATTATTATCAATCTTTTTCGACGAGATAAAGCTAATCAGGTCACTTAAATAATTCCGAAACATTTATCACAACCGGAATCAATCGGCTTCAAGACGAAGCGCCGGTAAAGTACTGGTGAGTAAGTTGTTGTCAGTGCTCCAACACACTTTGTACCTCACAGTTCAATTTGGAAGTCGGAGTGCAACGGTTCGGTGATCGTCGCTTGCACAATTTATAATCGCGCCATACTGATCGCTATTAATCTTACTACTGCGTGTACTAGCCTTTATAATTTGTTCTCGCGTGTGCTAATGTGATATGAGATAATTTAATTTGATTTGTTTGGATCATAAAAAAAGTTAATTTTAAGTTTCACAATCGTAGTTGTTTATCGCTGATTTAATAACGAACAAAGATGTCCAATCAGACTAACAATGCCGACTCATTGGAACCCGATAAGGATGAATTGACTTTGGACTCGATTTTGATCCGTATAGGCCAGTTTGGAAAATTTCAATTAATTGTGTTTTTACTCATCTGTGTTCCGATGTTGTTTAATGCAATTTTCTCGGTGACGTATGTCTTCACAGCTAGCAGCGTCGTGCATAGGTAACTTTTGGCATTTATTCTATTTTATCACTTATTTTTGTTAGACGATACATTTGGCTAACTCTTTGCGGTTTTCTTGACATTAATTTTAGAACACTATCTTTTTTGTAAAAAATGAGCAGTTTTTAAGTGAATTTAGTTAGAACTAACCTTTAGTAAGTTTTTTGATGTAATTAAACATTTTAAGCAAAATATATATAAATTTGTTATTTAAAAGTTATTATATATATATGTTATATTATATATGTTATTAAATATTATTTAAAATATATAATAACATGTAAGGTATACTGATATATATAACTATAAGATAATTGTTGGTACTGAAACTCAAAACGATCGGTTTAGATAAATTTACACCTGTTTTTCAATTAAAAATTAAACAACTCAGCTAAATATGATTAATTAGCTTAGATTTTTGTATATGTATATCAAGCAAATGAAAGATTCCGTTCTAAAAACATCTTTTAAATAATTATATATATATGTCTATGAGAAGAGAAGTGTATTTAGGCATTTACTTGTTATTTATTTGGAAAAGCTGAAGCTAGATTTTTTGTTATTTTTGAATAATTTCTGAATCATCGACTTCAATGTTTTTGAACACTTTAATTATACAAATAATAACAATAAGAAGAAATCACGCGACGAAGTTATCAATTTGGGCATAGGTTAATGCGCATCTCATAAGATTTTAATATTTAAATCACTTGCAGGCCGCATTTAAAGCTTTTGTTATTCAACTGTGACAATCCATTGAAATGCGATTTGTCAAATAAAATGTTTATGTTCCTCAGATCAATAAACCAAACTCCAATTCCATTGTTAATAATTCATAAATCTACTTTTAGATACAAAAGCTTTCACTTTTTTCCAAATAGTGGGTAATTAATGAATCACTAATTAACATTTCTAATTAAGCAGAGCGTAATTAAGGTACTTGTCTTTACGTTCGACATATTTTATTTATTTATCCTTCTAGTTGTTTTTACAAAAACATTTAACACTTAATTTAAATTTAACATTTAAAATTTACAATGTACTTGTATTCTGTATCTCATCGATTCTTTATGTACATTAAAATATATCGTAATTCAATTATAATATAGTCAATAATGATATTATTACAGCCTCAATTTTATAAATCTTACAATTATTTTCACTACACAAATAAACTTTTAAAAATAATATAATAAAATAATAAATAAATAAATAATAAATTATATATAAATATAAATGTATAAAAAATATACATAAATAAATAAAGTAAACAATAAATTATAAATATAAACATTATAAATTGATAATAAATAAATATAATAAATTTGTCAGACTCCCTCTTTAATGTATTTTCAACATACCATACATTCAAAAACCAAGACTAAAGGCCAATGTTTAGAAAAATTTATTTCCCAATATGCATCTATTTGTTTCAACAAAAATTGATCTCTCGGTTCTTGAGCCGTTCTGAAGTCCTATGCAACGAAACTTTTTGACAAGGAGAATAAACAATAATCCGAATAGTCATGGAAACCACTCACCAATGAACAATTATTGAGAGACAACGTTTCCATTCTCGACCCTGTTGTGACATTCACCATCACCGGATGCAAACAAGATAAACGCCTCAAAAGGGGTCCATTTTGCACATCAAATTCAGTATTAAAATATAACACAGCTCTTGCTAGTATATTCAAGGAAACTCTTCTTCGTGAATGAATGAAGAGTCCGCAGGTAAACGTCTTTCGAAACCTTGAGTAAATAAAATAATCAAAAAAGTAGAGGGTGTTGTGTTGATGACATCTACATTACTCACAAGTCTATTCGCTTGAATTCATAATCATTTAGATTAAAGAACTAAATATTCTTCAAGAATTATATCACAAGTAGGCGTTCTTAAATCAACTAACCTCACAATCATTTATGTTGACGCAGTTGATATGAGCACAAAATGGGAGCTACAACCGCGTCAAAATTGTGTCAAAGGCACCCAAAACTCTATGTAATACTCATTATTTTCTTCGCTATTCGTGGTTATTTGTTTCACGAATTGATTTAAGGGAGATAAAAAAAAATTAAAAACAGCTGAGAGAAAATTCGGTCATAAAGAGGAAATATTTGCGAGTATGAGTAAAGAAAACTCAGTTTTTCAGGCTGAAGTACACGCAATTGAACTATGTCTCAGGGTATATAAAGGTAAACCCGTCACAGGAAAAAACATATATATCTTTTCTGACAGTAAATCGGCACTCCTGGCACTACGCTCACCTCGAGTAACCTCAAAAATAGTGTGGGAATGCCATCTACTTCTCAAAGACATTGCTGAAAGGAACAGAGTCCACTTAATATGGATTCCAGGGCACAGCGGTTTTGAGGGAAACGAAAAAGCAGATGAACTAGCGAGAAAAGGGGCGGCCTCATACTATATTGGGCCACAACCATTCTGCGGTCCTTCGTGGAGCTTTTTTAAACTTAAAACTAATGAATGGCTGGAAAGAGCAGCTCAGAATGATTGCGATAATACAATTACCTGCAGACAAGCAAAAGAATCCATGCCGTTTCGATCAAAAGCCAGAACTAGGGAGCTACTTATGCTGAACAGAAGTAGCATCCGACTTGTCACAGGTTTTCTAACTAGACACTGCGGAGTTAAAAAACATTTATTGAATCTAGGTATTACTGGAGACGATAGCTGTAGACTTTGTTACGAAGAAGAGGAAACAGCAGAACACATATTGTGTCACTGTGATGGTCTTGCAAGACTCAGACTTCGCTACTTATCCATTGCCTATTCGCTTATAACGGAATAAGGCAACATCTCTCCAAAGGACATACTGGCATTCTTAACTGCTACTCGTCTATGGAACTGAAGTGGGTATGTCACAATAATCCTCAAGGATGCAGTGACGCGGTGACTACTTCCCAACCGATCTTTTGAAAAAAAAAAAAAAAAATATTCGGTCATGAGAGTCGAGACATGAGAGTCTCGTCACTTAGTCAAAGTAATGAAGTACATACTAGAAATATAAAAAATAGTAAAAATTAGAAATTGACGAACTGATATGACACTCTCCATAACATTCATTTTCGTCATACACCGTAAGAGCCAATTTTGACGTGCCCATGTCACTCTACATAACACGGGCCTTAAGGGTATTCGTTTTGCGTTGATTGAACTCGTAAAGCAAAATGCATGGAGTGATCTAAAACGACATACAATGAAACGCTTATCAAAAGTGTTTCAATGATTGGAAAAAATACTTAGTTATTCCTATCAGACTTGTGTACATACCTATATTCTATAGATCGACTATAGATGTCTGGTTCTTTTTTAAGAGAATATTTGTAATTGTAAATGGGATTTTTTTATTGGATTATATTCAATTCTAAAGAATTATAAATTGAAAGAAAATTTAATTAATTTATGTGCAATTAAATAATTAAAAAGTAGTTATAATCTCTTGGTCCGTGATTGTAATTTTTCATTTTTCTTGAAACTTATACACGTATGTATATATAGCCGTAGGTGTACATACAAATGTAATTTACATGTAAATATAAATTACGTTTGTTTTTTTATAAAATATTCTAACCACAATTTTAGAATTTATTAGTTTATATATATGTATGTAATGTATGTGCATTAATACTTTTTCACATATTACATACATAAATCTTGATAGATGAAGGGGAATATTTACAAATGAGAAATATTTCTGTTCATATTCAACATGAATGAAATCCCGTTTGTATATGAAATTATTCAAGTTGTTAGAAACGTAAATGTGAAAATATTTTTAATTATTAATTACCGTCACAAAAATGTTCTAAAGTTAATCACTGTAAGATATTAAAAAGAAACAAGATACTACAGGTCCCCTACATACCTTCTCCAGTGTGCATGTCATGCATGCACTATAACAAATGACATAATGCACAATTTTTAATTATAAAAAGTTGCTAAAATATTAAAAATTATTACTATTCAACATTTTTCACACAAGATAAAACTACTAGATAGTGGATGCAACCAGCTATAAATTTTTGAAGCCTTTACACAGCACAGTATTATTAAAAGATTAATAAGACATTGGTTTTTCTATACTAGCAATCGTTATATATCGGTATCGAAGATCGATTTTGGGTTTGAAATTTTATTTTGATTTGATTTGCACAATTAATTCGACTCAATTTGTCCATCCACCATCGGTGCCCATTAGTCTGCTGTTGATTGATGCAGTCTATGTTACTGTTACTAACATAGCCATGTTAAATTAATGTTAATGTAATCGTATGCGTACTCTACTATTTACGACTGAGTAATGTATTTATGCTACGCACAAAAAAAGCAGAAACGCGTGTATTAAAAACTGATAATGAATTTATCTTATTTTTATTTTATTTTTTTCTAATTTTTATCTTAAAAAAACTTGTTATTAAAAATATTTTTGTAAATCTACGAAAGCTGAATTTTATTAGCCAATTTATATAAACTTTACTGCAGACCTTCAAGTCGCGAAACTCTTTAAAAACAAAATTAGCTTTCAAAATTTTACAAATACTTGATTAGCAATTTTTAATTATTTATACATAAATATTAAATTGAATTATTTATTATATCAAATCATATATTACAGTCGCATAATTTTATTTTTGATTAGAAAAATAAATTTTAAGCAATCAAATCATTAAAATATGATTATATGATATGCACATTGTGATTGTTGTAATAAATATCATGTTATTTTAGTATTGTAATAACATATGATGTTATTAGTTTAAGAACCAGAACTATCATTTTAGTTTCCTTTAAGATCAAGAAATAGACATTTTAGATTTAGTTTATGCTAATAATACAGAAAATAATTATAGCAGCCAAGACCCCTCCCGCTCCAGAAACTAAAACGGATTCGAGCGCTATAAATTTATTTCTATAACCCATACTTCTCAGTACTATTCAGTACTAATTCTTTCTATTATGTTCTTGATATTATTGTTTATCGGATAAAATAGTCTTATATAGTATATGTATTTTAATATAATAATTGAAATGAAATTAATTTTATAATCTAAGTACTACTACATAAATTCTTGACTCCTAAGTAGAGTATAGAGACTTAACAACTTATAATAATATTGTTTAATGTTTTAATAAGTTAAGAATGTAATTTTCTGAAAGTTACTCAATTTTTATAATTTTCTTTAATTTAATTTAACTAAAAATTAAACATACAAAATCAAATTAAAAACTAATAGAATGCATTGACTATTTTGTTGGATCAACCTGGGGTAAATTTTACACATGTGTATGTGTATGCGTATGTACAGGAATTGATGACTCATCACCTTAACTATATTTTACCTAACATATGAACGTGTTTTATATTTTACCTATTATTCTTATTCACACTAAGAATAATTGAATACGTGTCTAAGAATAATTGATGGATCTAATGTCTTTCTATCTGCTTGTGTTTATCAGGTTTCGCTGTGTTTTTACGTTGAGTGTTGGGTTATTTCACGATCGTTCATGTATTTTTCGACTGAATCGACTCTCAGTTCTCTATGGATATGTACCACGGGCGTTAACCAATATTCTTAAGGTGATATATTGCCTTCATTGAAGATATTTTCATGTGGAGTTTGGCGCTTGGCAGACCGCAATACTACCATACAGTAGTCCTCGTTTTATGTTCTGGTTGTATATGTTGACTCTATTCTTCATGTTGAGCTTTTTGCTGCTGCTGAGCGGGTGGAGGGAGTACAATATTTGGACAATTTGAGTTTGTTTGGACTTGAAGTGTGTCTTCTAAGAGTATCTGTTGTCAAAAGTTACACCTAGGTATTTGAGAGTATCGACCCACTCTATTTTTTGTTCATCTACCTTTAGTCTTCTGGGTGTTGGCGGCACATCCTGCTAAGGAAAATTGCCGGTGTCTTCTCTGCATTCAGCTTTATATTCCCCTTTTTAAAATACTGGGCGAGCACATCAATGTGTCCCTGTATGGTGTTAGTGACATTGCAGACTATTTTGTCTGAGTCTATGTGTTTGTATGTATATATATTATACAGCTTAAGAATGGAAAAAAAATTGCGATTATTTAGTTTTTGTAATTTTAGTTTAATTACAAAGGCACATTATTATAAAACAAAATATAATGACGATCACTTTAAAACCGATTATGGCAAACAATTTTCTTAATAGAAAATATAATATAATAACATAAATAATTATAAAAAAATTTATATAAATAATTAGAAAAAATATTATTTTTTCAGTATTATATTATTTCTACCACTGAAATTATCGTGACACTTCCTATTATTAAACCCCATTAGCACATTATTATAGGGATATTTTCGATTCTTTGAAAAAAGGCACATTTGAAGAGTTAATTGCTTTAGTGTAAACTTACTGTTATAGTGTAAACGTATGACCACATACTTTATTGTGAATAGCACTGCACTACACTCCTTTAAAGCTATGCAATCAAAGTCAATTACAATATTTCGAAATATAGAAGTCTTCAGTCAAAGATAGCAAAATCAACATTAACCTGACAAATTTATTGCAACTACAAAGTCTAATATATATAGAGTAAATCCAAGGTAAAACTAAATTGATTAAAAGAGCGAATGAAATCATTTAGTTACAACAATAAGAGGCAGATGTTGTATTTATCAGCGCTGCAAATATAATTGGAACTACTCGAAAAGTTGAGCATTATCACTGTGTCTACATGGGCTAAACTTTGGCAAGATTCTTACATTCACTCTCATTTTTTCAGTAAAACACGCAAATTTTGTTGTTCGAAAATTCAATTCGAAAATAATACGTACTTGCATTCACATATAAAAATTGTACCTAGCCAGTGTAGACGCATGGTAGAGTGATGTATGATAATGCTTTATGTTCGAACAACAATTGTTCGAATATCTTTGAACATTTTTACACGTTTGAAGTGCTAGATTAATATATTTCCCTTACTCGAGCAGTGATGATGCTCGAACTCTTTGAAGCGCTAACGCTCATAGATAGAAGAAGGAATATGTGTTATGAAAATTATTTATATAAATGAAAATATTTATATAAATGAATATATGAAATTTAATCAAAAATTAATTTTGTAAGAATTTAATTTAAAAGTAACTAAATTTAGGTACAACCGCCCTACGTCCTGTCAAGAAAAGGACTGCAAGAAAAATAACAAAGTTAGCCTTCAAAGACTTTATATGAATATATATTGGTTTAAACACTGCACTTAACTTTTTAGAGCCCTTATATCAAATATTGTTTAGAATTAATGTTTTAAATATATTTAATAAATTATGTAATTATATTTTGTACTTATTAAATTCGATTAATTCCTTTTTCTGTATTTCTTTAGAAAGTCTATAATCCATTATGTTTTGTTAGAATAATGTATAGCATGTTCCATGTACTACCAGTATTTGTTATTTTATGAATATATGATCGCATTTAGGTGATTGCTGCCCACTTCTTTGTAACGCAATTAAAATTTACATAAACCTTAAATTTACTAGTATGTATTTGCATATTTGATGCAACTCTTTATTTATTTATAAATATCACTTCTAAGCAATTTCCTATACTTAAAAATACCTAATTACATATGTATCTAACAGATGCAATAAAATGTATTTATTAGTTTGAATAATTGATGTATCTCAACAGCGATATAACTCAATTAAAAACCCATTATGAATTTTTTTCCATTTAAATTTTAACTGCTATTGCAGTTAAATTAAATTCACTGTAATAATAATTTTATTTAGTATTGCTAATGCAATTAAAGCTTTTAATAAAAACCTTATAAAAAACTATAAATAAGAATATTTAAATATATTCAGCTTTTAATTGTAAACCCATAATTGACGCTTATTTACATCTAAATTGATTATAGCTATATATAAAATATTATAGGAATTTAAAATTTGTATGTAAATTATTTATAATAATATTAATCTAATACTGGATTCACAGGAAAGTTTCGTTTGTAATTTCAGCTGTCAAAAATTTTCCTTTTGCATTGAAAGCAACAACAATTGACAGCTAAAATTACAAATAAAACTCCTGTGTGAATCCACCATAAATCACATGAGGAAAGCATATCACATTTGTTCTATCCGCACTTTACGTCCCTCTATGGGAGGCTCGAGTATCTAATTTCGTAATTCCATAAAAGCCACAATGAACTTGAAGAGTTCTTTCTAATAGATTCTTATGTTTTCAAATAACAAGAAATAATATATGAAAATTTGAAGGTAATGCATATATAACATATTAAAGTAGATTAAAGATAAAAACATGTCTCAAAAGTAGTTTGTTTGAACTCAAGGCGCTACACGAGAACTAGACGGAATGAAATTTAAAAAAGTGATTAGAATAAGTAAGCGAAGAAAATGAAAGGAACTTCTAAATGACATAAATCATGATGGAAACTTGGATATAAAATAGTAATGAAGAAACTTGGAGTACAATCAGCACTAAGTGAGCTAAAAGAAGTCAAAACTGAACGAATTTGTAAATATCCTGTTTCCAAGCCATGAGATCAGGAGTGACGAAAACGTCATCCAGAGAATATTGATATTTGCATGGAGAGAGAACTTACGAGCTAAAGAACTTCAAAATAATAAAGCATTTGGACGAGATGGTGTGCCAACCGAAGTTTTAATAATAATTACGGAAAATAAACCTCAATTAAAATTAATAATGTAAAGTGCATGTCTTAGAGAGGGAATCTTCCCAGATATATAGAAAGGGTAGAGATTACTGCTTATTGATAAGAGCAAGTGAAACCGATATACTCCAGCAGCAATTAGACCACTGTGTTTGCTAAATACCCCAGAAAAACTCTATGAAAAGCTGATAAAGCCTAAATTAAAATTGGCACAATAAGAGTCATCGCTGAGGAGAGGTCATACACGGGATAGAAAATCGATTCCAAGTACACGCTTTAATAAGCAGATTAATTAAAAGTTACTTAACAAGCCGACAATTAATCTATAAATTGGAACATTTGCAATTATATATATTTTTATAAAACAAAACCAATATAAAACAGGTAAAGATGTTAGCTTTGTCTTTGCTGAAACCTAAATACCCTTAAACCTCTTAAACTTTATTTGAATATATCTAATAAAAACGGGGAAAACTGTTACGATTATTCTGTTTATATGATATAGTTAATATATCTGTTTAAATAGCTATAGGATTTAGTGTTCCGATTTTGTTCAAGCTAACAAATGATCAAATTTCAAACAGCATAATTTCGCATTTGCACAACTTAAAACTTAATTATAATTTTCGTTAGTGAACTGGTACCAATAACCCATTATTCTCGAGAAAATTAGTTTTCCATTGCAGTTGTTTACATGCACTCGCTTACGCATCTTTTTCGATTCAATAATATTCAAATCAAATTTAAATAGCAAAACCTCTCATTAGATGTAATATTCCAGAATGTGACACTGTCGAAAGTAAATATAACGAGGCATGGACTCAATTCACCATACCATCAAAAGATAACGACTTGGACCAATGTAATAAGTACAGAAGCTTATCTTCGAATGATAGTATGGAAGACGATAAATGCTATCCGCAGTATTTCGACAACAGCGAAACAGAAAAATGCAACACCGAAGATTTCATATTTCGGGATAAGGAAGTCACTATTTCAAATGAAGTGAATTACATTGCGCCCATTAATTATATTATATTTAAATAAAATAGTAAAATATATTAATTTCAGTTTGGCATTTATTGTTCAGATGAGTGGAAACTCACACTTGTGGGCACCATGAATAATGTTGGACAATTTTTCGGCATTCCCATTGGCGGTTTCATATCCGATAGGTAAACAAAAGTGACAACACAATAATGGAATATATTATTCTAGTTCTATTATTATATTAACTTAACTTTGTTTGCAGATATGGACGTCGCACATCTCTAGCACTTGGGGGCCTACTAGCTGGAATTGTGGGCATTATACGTTCAGTATCTCCCACATATTTATTTTTCCTAGCATTTGAGTTTTTGGATAACTTTTCATGTAGTGTTCTTTACTCGACTTGTTTTATTGTAGGCATAGAACTTGTGGGTCCCAAGAAGCGTGTTATCGCGTGCAGTTTAATAACTATTTTTTACGCCATTGGTGAAATTATATTGGCTCTTGTTGCGAAGTACTACCAAAATTGGCGTATTATGTTACGCATACTATACATACCGGCATTAGTTCACATTCTCTACTTCTGGATATTGCCAGAAAGTGTGCGTTGGCTACTCAGTCAAGGGAAGGAAGAAGAAGCTAAAAATACTTTAAAACGTGCTGCAAAGGTCAATAAACGCAAACTTTCCGATCATTCACTGGACAAACTTATATTAGCTAATCGGAGTAAACTAGCTTCTTCCACAGATGGAAAATTTCCGATAAAAGAAGCTTTTTCTAATTATTTTTGGCGCATTGCGAATTGTTCGTTCTGTTGGATCGTTAATGTTCTCGTTTATTATGGCATTAGTTTGAATGCAGTGCTTTTGGATGGCGATAAATACAATAATTTCATGTTTATCGCATTAGTGGAAATTCCCGGATTCTTGCTGCCATATGTGACTATGGATCGATTTGGTCGGCGCTATTCTCTATTCGGTTACATGTTAATAAGTGGCTTGTGTTGTTTAGGTACAATTTTTTTGAGCTCAGGTAATTTTATTTTTTATAGTATGCTATAAAAATATTGCCAAACTGATTAATTTTTAATTTTTTTATCTGTTTTAGATGATTTTTACACAAAACTTACATTATTTTTAATCGGAAAAATGACTATTACTGCCAGTTTTCAAGTCTTGTATTTCTTTACATCTGAAATCTTTCCAACTAATATTAGAAACAGCTTGCTTGCTTTTTGTTCCATGATGGGGCGATTTGGTTCTATGATAGCTCCACAGACACCGTTATTGGTAAATAAAAACTAACTTTGTTTATACTTCATTAAATCGTTACCTCCATTTTTCAGGCTAAATACGATAAAAATGCTCCGGCAATACTCTTTGCTACCACTGCCATTGCAAGCGGCTGCTTAGCACTTTTCTTCCCAGAAACAACGAATTTAATCCTACCAACGACGATGCAGGAAGTGAATGAAATTGGCTTAAAGAAACAACCCAAAACAATAAGTACGCCAATGTGACCTGTAGTATTTTATATATTATCTCTCTTCATATATAATAATAATAATAATATACATATAATAATAAACTGTATATATTTTATCGTATATATCATAATCATATCAAATAAAAACTATGTTTTACACAATCTTTTTTGTATTCAAATAAGAGTGCGGACATCATATAAATACCATAGATAAACGATAATATAGGTTTCTTGGTTTTAAGGAACCAATCATTTCGAAATAAAATCATGGCGAATGAGTGACATGAAACAAGAATTCAATGATTATGACTTATATACTTATATAAAAGTCATTGGACACTTTCTATATCGATCTCTCACATTTAGGGATAAACCAAGAGGACTCACATTTGCAAATTAGTTTCCTGTATGCAAACATACTTTTTTTATGAGTACTTAGAAATTCAAGCTTATCTAGTAGTATGTTTCTACTGCTTGTCGTTTATATTGGCATAAGTCAAGTCATAAAACATGGGCATTGTTTAGAGAAAAGAAGGTAAGTGAAGGGATCTTGAAAGCCACGAGTACAGAGTGGGATTATGAAAACACCTAATTGCTTGGCAGGTGCTTGGAAGTATAATTGTAGGATTTAGGAGGGTTGGCTTATGGTGCATGGCAAACAAGACGTCAAAGTAAAGGGTGTTATGCGCTGAAACATCGGGAGGTGGATTATACAACCTTGCGAAGTACAGCCAGGTGGGCGTTAAAAGGTGCTAATCAATGCGTAGAATCTGAACTTTCTTGCAAACGACAGAGTTTGGAAAATGTTACAGTAAGTATTGCACATGTAGTTGTTGGAATTTCAGAAGACCTTATGCTCAAAAAGACGGATTTCTTCCATTTGAGCAGAACGGATTGCAGAATATATGTCGAAGGCATACAAAACTAAGAATGGATAAGCTGCTTGTAGCAGCCCAGCTAAATTTCCAATTAAGCTGGTTGTGCCTTCAAAAGGCATTTTAAGTTGAATATGCCTGAAATTGTCATTTTGAATGGCATATCTTCTATGCGAAACAAAGTTTTGCCATGCTAAATAGGAGTATTATTGAATCCTAGATCAATAAGTAAGGCATGAAAGCTTCTATTGCGATCTCTCTTTTGACAAACGATATTTGTGGCGATGTTCTTAAAGAGACTAAGCTTGATTGAAGATTGGTGAAACTCCTAAGGTGAGCGTTAAACTTATCAGATATTTGATATTAGGTAAATGACCGCATGAAAATAAGCCTGTTATCAGCATACCAAATTTGTTTAACAGGCCTGTGGAAAACTAGATTAAAAAATAGTGGGCCGGCATCAAGGCAGAACTCAGGCGAACACCAGGCAATGTAAAAATTACGGGACAGAGAGGAGACACATCAAATTGTCTGAAAACTATGCTGTCTATGCTTTATAAAGATATCGCAAAATATCGCTTTTTTTGATTACAGTACTGCCATAAGTTATTTTTGTGGAAAAAACAGTTGTTGGTCATTAATCGGTTATTGTTAGTTCCGAGAGGAATAAAATAATAACCACCTCCTATTATTTTTTTGGGAAAAAACTTTTTTAGTACATTACAAACTTTTATGAAATAACATGTTGACAATTTTTTCGCGGTATTGCTGTCGATTTAAGATCTATTTATAAAAAGTTTCCTTTCATCACCATGAAACATATCACCAGCAGTTATGGTGCATCTTTGTAATTGAAAGGATTCAGAAGATGCTTAGAGTTAGTAGAATATAATGATATTCTTCGCCAATAAATAAGGAGCAAAATCTAAATACCAAAAATTACTGCGAAATCTTTAGACGTCTTAGACATCAAAATAGTTTTCCTACTCATTACTTAGCACATAATATTTTATAATACCAGTCAGTAATCACTTAATGGTTTTAGATTCTGTTAAAATAATATTCCCATCATCGACTATATTTGCAATTATTTTTATAAAACTCAAATTAAGCCGTTTGGACTTCTAATCCATACCCATCATGAATACCACTAATGTAGTACTCATTACTGATTGTGTTACTGAGATTATAAGCACAGACGAGAAATAGAATCCTGTCTATATAAAACCGATGAAATTTGTTTGTTTATTGATCAATTAATATTGTTGTTGTTATTATAGTCCACCCTGAAAAACAAGCACATAAAAGGATAAAAAAATCGCCCATCTGTTTTCTTGCCCCAACGCACACACCAATTTAAGTCCAATCGACCTTTGGACTCGTCCCCTTGAAGTAGCTAGGTTTCTTCGACTGGATCCTGGTTAGTTTCAAATTATTCCCACCCCTCCCCTTCCCTCATCACAACACTCATTCCCATCTATTCCATTCCTTATCCGATGTATTCGTCTTGTAATCCTTTCATGTTATCTACTTTCAGGTCCCGGCGGGTTAAAACAACAACAACAACAACATAAAAAATTTACACTATAGGATTAGATGAGAAAAGAAAAGAGATGTAAGGGAATACCAAAGTGATAGGTGGAAAAAGTGAGCCTAAACTAGGTCCAAATCAGACATAAATCAATAGGGCTCAAATTTATGTGTGTGAAAACAAACTAATGACGTCATGGGGATCATCAATATTATCAAGTTGTTTTACTTCAATGATCCATTATAACTAATTAATTACACAGCTCACTGTTACGGAAATATTTAGCAACAAAAAAAAAAATAATACTAACAATAAAATATTATTAAACTCTTGACAATTTATTAAAAAATACAATAAATTTATCTGCCTCTTTATCAAAAAGTACTAGGCTAAGTAATCTTAACAAATATATAAACAAATAAATATGGCACTGCCAAATTTTCAAAATAAAAAAATACTTTTTACAAAAGGAAGCAATTAATTTTTTTTTTAAATATCTTACTGGGAACTTTTTTGTGTAAAAAATGTTGTTATGGATTTATTGGTAGTAGCTTTGTTGGTTGGATTCATAATACTTTTATTTAAACTTTTCCGAGACTGCGTAGGATTTTCCTTTTTTACGATTTCGACAGTACGCACTTCTAGACGATTAATATCTTTCTGTAACGCCTTGGCTATGTGGTAATCATTATGTTCCAATAGCTCACTTTTTCTCACAAACGCGTTACACTCCTTACAGGCGACTTTTTCATTCAATTCATTTTCCAATATAGCTTGTAAACTTGTTGTGGGTTCCTCGGATAAAATGCTTCGCTCATCTTCTCGTTGCTTAATTGTTGTTTTTAGATATTTAGTGATATCCGTTTTGTTTGCTTTTGGGTCTGAAGGTTTCTTTATTTTCTTATTGGCATTACCTGAATTTGAAATCGTCATTTTTGCTTGAATCTCTGTACGATATTCATTTCGCAGTTGTTGACTTAATTCTTGTGCAAAGTGGTGGTCCTTGTGAGTCTGAATTGTTTGATGGTCATCTGGTATTTTAGCCCCGCATTGCTCGCACTTAATATATGACAACAAATCAGGACGTAATTCTGGAATTGCGAATTCTGCATAAATATTTTTGTAATTCAGAGAACTTGTTTGATCACAACCAATATTCTCTTCGGATAGTTTTACTCTTTTAGTTTGCTTTTCAGATATTTCATTTTCAGAACTTTCTTCGTTAGTTACTACATTATCAAATTTATGTATATTATTTTGTGGTTCATTTATCACAAGTTCTATTTCTTGTTCTAAACCATCTAACTCTTCTTGTTCTATAATATTATTAAGAGTATCGTTAGTGCTAGAGTTTTGATTTTGTTGATGTATAGAGCTATGTTCTTCATCGATGTGCTTACCGGCCTCTTTTTTTGTAATCACATTCAAAAAATAACTTGAATCCCCGGATTTAATATTTTTAACGTTATTATTTTCATTACAATTTTCTTCAATCGTCTCTTTTAAAACATTTGTTTCGTTGTTATAACTTTCAACAGAAAGATCGTCTTGTTCATTTAAATCAATGTCGACTGTCGGTAATTCTGAGCGAGTATCTCTGTTATGTTTTTTAGATTGATTAATGAAATCATTATTTTGATCGGTTTTCAAGAAAAAACTTTTTATAGTTACATTCTTATTTTCATTTAAATTTATAGCACCATTTTGGATTTCGTTTTCTTTTGAATCTTGTCCAGCATTTGAAAATTTTGTAATAATATCGTTATTACATTTTTCAGATTGTTTATTAATAGACGAATTATTTACATTATCCTTTCCACTTTTGGCAAAAAAGCTTTTGATCGACGTACCCTGAGAACTCGATACTTTGGCAATTTTACTATCGTTTACATTTTGGGATATATTCCGTTCCTCATTTTCTTCAGTGTAATCTACAGATTTTCTTTTTTTAGCCATTTGATTCGCAAACATTTGCTGCAATTTACTCTGCCCACTTATTATGGTCTCAAATTTACCAACGCTAATGCCTAGAAACTTGATAGGATTGTTTAGAACTGCTTCACTGCCTTTGCGAAAAAATTGTTTTGTGTTGGATTTAATAATATCAAAAGCGTTTTTAGCTATACCATCTCCATCGTAAGTGGTAAGTGGAGCTGAACGTGAACTTGCTATTTCTTCATTATTAAATTCTTGTACAAAACTGACAACCATTTGCTTTGCTTTACGATTATTTTCAATCACATCTTTTTCCAGGCGCTCGTTGATTTCATTACCCAACTCATTTAACCAATGCTTCAATGTGTTGATTCCAGTGATATTGTTCCGTCCTGGAAATTTTTTGCAGCATCCTATGCTCTTAGAATAAAACCGGGGTATGACAGCTTCAAGATCTATACCACGACAAATGTAATATAACCATGATCTACAAAAAAGATAATTTATTTATATTCAAATAAATTTTATATAAAATATTTGCAAAACTTTTATGTAAATAAATAGCATAGATTTGAAAAATTACGAACCCATTTTTTTCATCGAATTTTTTTTGTATTTCTGATTCTGAAAATTGTAATAATTCTCCAAGAAAACGTATTTGTAAACGTTCACAAACGTCTTCGCCAAACTTTCCACCCAATCCTTTAATTTTGCCTAAAGGTAGTGTTTCAAAAAGTCTAGGTATTTCAGACAGCGGTAAAATAGTTTGCTTATTAGGTTTATTTATACCACAAGCCAATTTAGCAAGAATTTTATTATGTGCCACTCCTGCAGAACATTCATAGCCTGTTACAGATTTAACTTCGGCTCTAATTTCGCTTGCAATTGAAGCGCCTATTAAAAGACGTATATCGCTTTGACGTACCGATGGTATATCGTCAGGATTATAAGCAACATTAAATTGATTATCATCCACATACGGGTTCGACAAACGTACAGTAATTTTGTTGATGTATTCCCCAATATGCGCATAGCCAACTGCATAAGTATTTACCAAAATTTGTGGTTGCAATACAAAAGTACCCTGAAAACATTAAAAAATAAATAAATCGAATTTATTATAGGTCCAAAATTAAATAAATCATTCATACATTATTCATTGCTTCAAGCCGATTGTTTACTGATGCAGTTATATCCAAATAAGCTTCATCTACAGAGGCGCGTTCTAGAAGATCAGTGAATTTTTGCAGTACATTTGCAACATCTTTGCCAGCTTCACGATATTTTGTTAAATCAGCTTTTTCTCGTACGTTTGGTACTTTTACGAGTTCAATATCGGGGCACTGCGCTTTGGCCTCGTCGCCTCGCATATGTCGCGTGACTCCTTTTGCCCGAGCAGCGTAGTTAACTGCAATTATACTATCATGCAAAACAGAGGATTAGCCTTACAAATTGCAGCTTTTAATTTGTTATAAACATACCCGCCACCACGCCAGGCATTATATTGCACCACAGCAATGGGCTTTCCTTTAAGTGTTGGGTCCAATTTCTCCTCCACTTGGCAGTAGAAACAATCCATATCAACAAGCAAAATGATCCGATCATATTTATTTTGCATGGAAATAAAATTTCGTGTTGAATTAGTTGGTGCAGCCATATCTTTATCAAAATACTTCAATAAAGTACACAATTCCACTGAATATTACATTTAACAAAAATAAATAAATTTCGTTTTACCGCGCAATATCGAATCAACAATGACAGTTGCGCAGTCTGCGCTGTGTTCGGAAAATTGGCAAGAACAGACACTCGCTTATTACACTTTGTTGTGTGTGTAAAGTGTACTTATAAATTAAGTGTACTTGGTGTCTACACTGGCTAGATTTCGGCAAGATTTTTACGTTCGCAAGCAAATATGTATTTTATCGAATTTTGTCTGTAAACAAAATATTGCATATATTAGTGAAAAAGAAAGAATGTTACAAAAATCTTGGACATTCAATTTTAACCATTTATTATAACATTTATTACATTAAATATTATTTTTTACAATACTTACAAGAAAACCAACTACAATTACTATTGTAATCGACTAGTAACACAAGACCCAGTATACTTTAAAGATTTATCTTTGAATTTTACATCACAGTTTTCAAACATATCATTAAAAAAATATTATTGGTTTATACGTAAAATTAGGTTTAAAAAAATAATTAATTTAGTAAAGAAATTCAAATCTTTCGTTTATCTTCAGTTTATTATTATTAACTGTAATAACTATCTTGTAAATCTATGTAAAAAAATTAAGTTATATTGAACTTATTATGAAAAGTCAGCTATAGTATATAACAAAATAATGCTGTTTAATACTGGATTCACGCGAGAGTTGTATGTATAATTTTAACTGTCATTTCAAATTATTCTCGATTTTGACACAAAAACGTGATCAAATCATGAAGAATTGTTTGCGATTTTTGGTAGTTGAAAACAGAATCGAATCGTAATTTCTACAAAATCAACTTTTAACACATTCACGCTATCTCGTTTAGACAATTTTGCTCATTATAACCACTAGTGAGGATGATTTACTATACAAATTACTTTAATGTAAATGACCTCATTATCAATAAATCAGCACATTTACGGTAAAAATTATCGAATACAAATCTTAAAAATAAATTTTCCACAAGAAAAATTACCAAAATTTTAAAGATCTGCCAAATGTTTTATATGTAAAATATAAACAAACAACAGCTAAGCTGTAAACAAAGGCTCATTTTTGCTCGACTTTTAAGGAAAGTCTTATTTAAGTATTCGGCAAATTCCTAACATTAGGAGTCCTCGTAATGAAAGCCAAAACCAATTTGCCTAAATACGTATAGAAATATACTAGAATAAATAAGAGTTTAAAATTTTTTAAAAACAATGGGCCTATTGGGCCTATTTACACTATCATGAACATGAACATGAACTTGAAAACCGGTTGTTTATTGATGAGAGAGAGAGTTCATGAATTTCACGCAATAAAATTTGCTGCGTTATGTTTATGTTTACCTTTTAATGTTGAATACTCTCAATTTCTATGCTCTGCACTACTACACAAATGCATTTAATACGTTTACACAAAAGAAAACAAATTTCACGCTCATGACAATTCATGATAGTGTAAACTGAACTGGCAGTTCATGTTGTCGTCAAATTCATTTCACGTTCATAATAGTGTAAATCGGCCCAATGATTATTTCTCATATGTTTTATATGTGAAATATAAATAAATAAAAGCTGGGTTGTAAATAAACGCAACGAAGAAGTAAGTATTTAAGAAAATTTTTGTTTTTATTAATTTAATCTGTAATTGGTATTTATAATGTATATAAATGATTTAATATATCAGTTACATATTTATTTTACTTGTGTTATTATATTATTAAGTGAGACTTATATAAGTTTATAAAGGTTCATCAACTCATGTGAATTCAGTACAACACAAGTTTATTCATTCGTATAAAAAAGGTTTAAATTGTATGACAGTTTAGCGTACATAACTCATATACGCAATTTAATTCAAGTTAATATGCATTTATTCCACTTAACAGAATATTTTCCAAGATTGATTGCAGTTATGAAAAACATATGTTTTTAAACATTCATTTATTGCAATGTTTACAAACAATTGCTTTTGTTGTGGTCAAATCATTTGAAGTTGGAATAGGCAATGAGACGAAGTCAACGAACAGCACAAAACGGAATACAAAAAACAATTATTTCTGTTAGTGTTAGGTAGCTTGGTGTGCTGAAATGTACTTGGTTTAAATTTAATATAATTTAAAAAGTGTTAATATAAAATATAAATAAATTCATATAAATATTCTTGTGATAAATAATTGTAAACACAATAAGAAACAATATGGAAGCTGTGTAAAAAGTAAATATAAAATAATTAATAACTTATTTGTTAGGGTGTGGTTAAAAACATAAACAAATTTAAATATACTTTATTTAATTTATATATTAAAGTAAATATTATATAACTACGTTTCGTACTAGAATAAAATATTAGTTTCAGAAGTTATTGATTTTTTACAAAAAAAAAATCTGATTTTATTTAAGTCCTTTGTACCTTTTGTTCTACTTTGCATACTTGCGCTCATACATAGCTTTATTTTATAATTTATATAAACTTCTTTGTATTATATGTTTACGCATTTTCTATTATTAAATTCCGGTATGTACTTATAATGCATAACATTTCCGTTTCCGTTAAATAAGTCTAATGTCGTTCTATACTTTTTCCCAGAAATTTGTTTGCATTTGACTACAATTTTCATGATTACGCCGGATCCATGAAATTGACCTACTTTGCGTTTTATTAACCTTTTGACCATTTGCAGCTGAAAGCCTAAAATGAATGCAAATGGATTGCGTTTTCAAACCTAATTAATCTTAAAATAAAAATAAGCTAGCTCATTTATACATTCATTTATACTTTTTTTTCTTATTTATGTGACTAACCTATTTTAAATTTTCTTGACTGTTAACCATTTGTAGCTTAATTTATTATTTTACAGGGTCAGTATGAGCACACATAATCCCTCTGCCGAAGAGAAACGTGTGGGCGTGCGTATTTTTTTGAAGAAAATAAAACAATATTTTTTTGCCATGAGTAATTTATTAATCTAATAATATTACATTAATTAAAGTGATAAAAAAATATTACTGATAGTATATAATTAATTACAACATATAGGCCGTGTGCGAGTTCGAGTAAATTGAAGTAAAGTAAATTGAAATTTCCTAGAGACTTTTTGCACTGCACTTATGCAAATATTTATTTATTTATTGCAATTATTTATTATTTTTGGTTAAAAATTTTCAAATTTATTTATTTATTTATCAAACATCTTTTAAAATTTTCACAATGGCAACACCTAATTTACCTAATTTTTATCTAATTTACCCAACTCGAAATTCTGGTAAATACTAACATTTGCTGCCATGCCGACATAGTTTACTATTTCCCTCAATTTACTCACACACGGCCATAAGATACATTAATTTAATACTTTAGTTCTATCTTCCAATGAGAAGCTCTTATGTTTCTATCCTAAATACAAAATTTTTATATTTGCTGATGAGTGAATATATTATGAAAATATAATATATATAAGGTCAAACTTTCATAACTCGAAGTATCAGTTTGCAAAGAAAAGGTTCGACTTATGGACACTTCGAGTTAAAGAATTTTTTTATAATTGTCTGCTCTCTAAATCTTGTGCACTTTATTTTGTTCGAGTTATTGGAAATTTAAGTTTTAGAAGTTCGAGTTATTGCTGTATTTTATATTGTGAAAATATAATATATACATAGGTTTCATATTATGAAAATTTAATATATATATTTCATATTATGAAAATATTATAGATATCAAAACCTACATACTTAATCCATTGCTTTAGAGAATTGGCTTTAAAGAAAGTGCAAAGATTATGAAATTATGAATGCTATCTTTATTAAGCTCGTTAGCATGTATACATACCTCACCGAATGCTTTTCTATCATTTTCTCCACTCCACTAAAATTATTAGTAATTTATTGTTTTAATGACCAAAAAACAAAATTATTACTAAAATTATTAGGAAAACAACATTAAAATCTATGTACATAAAAAAATTACAGCAGTTTTTTTTTCTATTCATCTCAATAAATGTCACGTAATACACTTAATATTACCCCAACAAAAAACATTGACTAAGTAAGTAAGTCACTATGTTGAAATGTATCTTTTCTGAATCTGTAAACAGGACTATACACCTATTGTTAATATAGGTTTCGCATACACCAATTTGAGTCTAATTGATCTTTGACTCTATCCCATTAAATTGATTAGGTTTCTTCACCTTTATTCACATTACTTTCAATTAAAATCGGACCCATCCATAATCCACACTTGTTCTCAAAAAACTCCGTCCTCCACATTTCTTTTACTCATGGTTGGGTCCTAACCCTTGTATTCTTATTTGAAATTTCTTTCATGTTTTCTGCCTTACATATCTCAATGGGTTACTAGAACAACAACAATATTTTGTAGTCCTGCGACTCACATTTGTTCTGTTGGTTGCCTATATAAGACTTACTTTAAATCACATATAAGCTAGATAATATTATATTATATATACATATATATAAAGTACTAGATATAGAAATATATACTTAATATAATGTTATAATACAAGGGTACATATATAAATATTCATTCTTAATTATTATATATTAACATCGTATTAATACACATAATAATAATACACATAACATCATATTTTGATTTGAACTCATATTCGATAATGAACAATAAGAACTTTCCATTCTTTTTATTTATTTATTTATAATAAAATAATAATTTATAATAAAATATATAATAAAAATTTATAATAAAAATAACTTTTAAAACATTATGTTACTTCTGTGAGGTGCAGTCCTCAAAGTTTAGTTCGCTTTTCGACTCTTTTTGATGTCTATATATATCCAACAATGCACATATGTAATCTAGGAATAAGATCCCAAAAATCGATCAATAAAATATATAATAAACCCACATCTTTATAAACGCACAAAAATTGCTACGAATACCTCTGAACACCCTATATAGACACTAATTAATAATATTAACTCTTCACATAAGACAACAATTATAAAAAAATGTGTGTAAATAGTCACACATCAGAGTGGTTAGCGGCATACACTACATGAGCATGAGTAGGGATGAGACATGAATGGAATGCTCTTTCATGAAAACTGCACACCTAGGACATAACTAAACCACCATAGCGGTATTTTTAGAATTTAAAATGGAAGGACAGGACAGCGAGAATCTTATTTGTTTTGCTGAATTTAATTGCGGTTAGGATAGCGAATTGTACGGTTTAAATAAATTCGTTAGAGACATTTATTTTCTACTTATGACAAGAAAAAGTATGACGCGCACGGAAATGAAGTCACTCAGGGCGTTGGACCCATACGATTAATTTTTTATTGTTTTATTTATTTCACTTTTGGTATTGCAAGTTTTGATTTAAATCATGATTTTTATCTTTTATTTTAGCAAAAAGCAAAATGGTTAAAATATTACAAGCATACAATTTTGCAAAGCAAAACACCTTTTCGCTGAATGGAGAAATCTTGGCAGCGTCACTTATCGACTCGAATAGGATTGCCATCAGCAGTGCTGAGCAATTCATTGAAATATATGACATAGGTGGAAAGCAGCGCTTCACCGATATTATAATCTCCGAAAATGAAGTAAAGTCGGCAATCCTGAATAATTCGGATGCTTCAGCAGATGAACGCGTACCGACAAAATATTCCTTACCAACCGTTGGAGAGGTAGTTAATCTCATTTACTGTGCAGCAGGTATTCTATTGTAATGATTCTTATGTATTTATACAATAACATCATAATTTTTAAATTGCAGGCAATTATTTGCTGACATTGGAAAAGGAAAATGTCAGCAGCCCGGTGCATTCAAACAGCACAAGTATTAGTTGCACTAGTAGCAGTAATAGTGCTACTGTGTTCTCTGAAGAAGATACGAAAATGTTCGTTCGCATATATGCCAACTTCTTGAAGTTCGCTGAAGAAAAACTAATTGATATGCCTATCACTATAAGAATTGCTTCTATGACAACACCGAAGGCACCATTAGTTGAGAGCATTGACGTTATAGAGCTGCCATTGCGAAGTCCTCCAGACTTAATACAATGTTGTCAAGTAAGTAATGAAGAGCAATTATGTTTTAATTTACTAATTAAATTTCAATTAAACTTATTTTTCAAATTTCAGACATCAGGAAATATAATTGTGACCAGCAAAGAACGTATCTATTTGTATGAATATACAAAATGCACACATGAAAGCACTCAGCCCCGATTTTCCTATATAGATTTCTTACCATTTAAATTTTTCGTTAATTTGAATTTTGCACCACTTAAGATAAATCTTGCTGAAAACGTAATAGCCTGCATGAATAACCGGTATTGCGTAGCGTTTAAAGTAGTCGATGTACTTGGCAACAGCACAAATAGTAGTCAACCAGCTGAGAATGATTTTGGCGTTTACGAAGCTGGAGATATTGATGCAGACGAAGCCATATCCACTTCTGAGTCAAGTACAGTTAGCAAAGCAAGCGCAGCACCCTCAAGTCACAACAGTTTTGAAACGGATTCCTTGGAAACGACATCTAGTGGTAGAATTGCTGGGGGTACTTCGGGTTTCCCTGGACGTACCCCAGTTGATTTTAACGTGGCACGCATTGTTAATTCCGCATGCGGACGTGAATTCGAAGTTGACATAAAATCTCAGTGGGAACAGGGAGAAACACTTAGTGGTGGTGGCTCCTCAATAGGTATTCATGATACCCAGGAAATTATTATAATGCCAATGCGGGCAAGTGATATTAAAATTAAACTAGTAAACGAGGCGAAGGCAATGAATGTACAGGTAATTATTTGATGTTAATTTTCTGCAATTATATTGTACAAAACACTTTAAACTGTAGTTTATAATTTACAATTTGACAAAAGTCTATTTTAGCTTTAAGATACTTTCAAGTTACTTTTGAATTTAATTTATTTTTATTATTGCTTAGCGCATGTCAGCACACGGAAATATATCTGCTTGCACTGACGACAACGCAGTGCAATACGACATACGCAAACTTTTACAAATTTGCATGAAAACTACAGAACCAAACAGTCGCATAGTAGATATTCTACGTTGTATAGATCTTAAAGCAATTTACCAGCGAAACCCTAATGCAAAAGATGAACCCGAAGATTCGGAATACGAAATGGGAAATCAACAGGTACCCAGCGCCGTTACTACCTCTAAACATATTAACAGACGTACGCTGAAATCACATATCCATCAGAGCTGTATTGGTTACGCCCTTATGGTAGCTAGCAGCGTTGATGGATATTTGTATCAATTCTGCGCACAAGGTACCATTTTATATTACTTTATCCTTTATCTTTTATATTACTTTATTTACTTCAAATTTATTTAATAAAATTTAATTTTATATTGACAGGAAAGTGGTACAATGAGAACGAAAAACCCATAGCCACTTACTCTTTCACCGCACCTGTTCTGAAGGTGCACATAAATGATTACGTCATATATGCTATCACAAACGAATCTGTGGAAACGCATACATCACGCGTAGGTCATAAGCTCTTCAACAACCGGTTCGAATATCCAACAATAAGTGGCCTCTTTCCCGAAGAATCTAGTCCCGACGTGAACGCTGCTATAACTGTTGTTGGCTTATGCTCATTTATGCATGTGCAGTTTGTGTGCGTCAATCATGACAATATGGTGTTAATCAGCAATAGTTCATTTAATGGGTCAGACATCTCAAATGCTGCGAAAAGACGCAGTGGCGGTGGAGAAGTGAAACGAAATATTGCAGCTCGTTTAATTGCAGAGGCAAAAGCAAAGAATATTTTGCGTAGCAGTAGTTCATCCCAACCTACCGCTGCCATCAATGAGTGGACACTTTACAACTTAGAGATACCGCAAGTTGAATACGTAGTAGAAGACTTGGAAACTATTGCAGAGTCTTATCGTTCCGCAAGTAGTTCGAACTTTTATGATTTGATGGAAGAAGCTCATGTAATGCTACGTTTAAGCCTTTCTCTAAAGTATGAACAGCTAAACGTTGAGCGTGAACAAAATCTACGGGCCAAGTTTGTTGATAATTGCCGTAAATTAGCAGACTTTTCAATAAGGTAAAGACTTTCTAAAAACTTGAGTATCATTTTTAATTATTCAATAACTTTTAGATCTCATAAAAAAGAAGTCTATTTACAAGCTACTGGCTTTTACAAAATGTGTAATTTGCAGTTAACTGAAATCTATGCTAATTACATAAACAATTTTGGATTGGAAAATAGTGATAGCGATAAAGTTCATTCCGCAATCGAAAATGCTTCAGCAAATCAAGACCAATTTATAGGTCTTTTATATACTGTCAAACTCTTCTTACTCAGTTTAGGTACAGATCGTTTAAATGCTGCATTTTTAAATCAACTGGTGAAGCCATATTTTTCAACACAAAAACTTGCTGAAAAAGGATATAGCCAAGTTCCGTTATCATTGGAGTTTCTGAATATGTTTATTAAGTACTCACAAAATGATATACCACAAATTATGTTAAGATCCCCCGTAGTGGCTGATGCAATTAGCGGCGAATTGATAAACTATTTGAAATACATTAATAACTTGTAAGTAGAATAAATTAGTATAGGAAATTATATATAATTATTTTAATTCGCACTAAATAGAAATCCTGAAGAAAACCTTTTGTTAGCCGTAACAGCATGTCGAATGTCTAACTATATACTAGCAAAGGAGATCATATCCAAAACGAATCGTCGGGAATTAGCTATAGCATTAATAAAATACAAAAATGTGCTCTTTGATGATAGCACTGTGCTTTATCAAAAACAACGTAGTGATAACAAATACCAGAATGGAACACGTAGCAATGGTTGCACTCACAAACAAACTCAAAGTCATCGACAGCAGAAGCGAAAATCTTCATCTGGGTATACATACAATTCAATTGCACAAACAAACAATGTTGTATCGTTTTCCGACTTCACGGAGACAATTTTACTAGCTACCGAAGATCTACATTTAATAGAAGCAATCAGTGATGCATTTATACATGCCTTATGTATCGAGCACAGTATTACATTGGATGTCATTCTTCAACTCTTCCTTAACTACATAGCATCGCATATTGGACACAAAGGATACCAAACTTCACAAAAAGTTTTTGTTAATATATTACAGGTATAAAATTGTGAATATACATTATTATGTAAAATTTAACACTTTGTAGTGATATCATAGGTTTACTACTATGATTTATTCGATGTAAATCCCCTCAATAATCCACCAGAACCACATTCTCATACACCAGTGCATAATGACGATATTGACGAAGTTTCATCAAAGGCGGCCTCACTAAATAGCGAACGTGATAATGAGTCATTAGCAAATTCATTAGGAGAATCGATATCTGGAGCGAGCTCCTCAGCTGAGGAGCGTTTGACTCCCAATAAACATAATCGTATTGTGTACGATCAGTTGCAAGAGCATCAATCACCGTATAAGCACTGTTCTTCTAGTTCCCTAAATAATGCAGAAGAAGCACATCTCTCGGCTGATGATATTAAAATAAATCTTAAAGGGCTAAAAATATTATTCCGTATGTATCTTGGGCGTTTAAAAGCATTAAGTGACCTGATGACTGAATTGCAGTCAGCTGACATGGAACAAGAAGCACAAAATGAAGATTTTCTCAATTTACGCATGGAGTGCATTAAGTTTATGATGCGGCATTTGCAAGAAATGCGAGCACAACACGAACAACAGTCACGACTAAATATTGAAAAATCGCAATACTTTTATGGAAAGGCAAACATGAACTCATCAACGGCAAACGCTAACTTTTCAAATAACGAAAAGAAATTCATATTTGTGCCATACATACCAGACTATAAACTACCACCCGGGGAATTTGCAACTCATGTGAAGTTTTATATAAGGCCCATACCATGTTTACTAGAGAGACCACAGTATCTAAATCGTTTACCACCATTTAAGCGTACAGATTTCAGTTTTCCCAATAAAGACGATGGCGAATTCGAAGTTCGTTTCCTTGGTTGGCAAAATGAGCTGTTGACATTGACACTAAAAATTCAAGTAAGCTGTAATTTAATTTATTGGTCATTGAAACTAATATATAATTTTAAATTTAGTCACTACTTGCTTTTAGCAAAATCGATCGCGAAATAATAGAGGAATTCATTGCTTTTATACAGAAGACACCAAACCTCATTGGAATCGACAGTTTTCTTGTTATAATATTACCAAAGAACTTAGCTATTAATTACATGCTAAACTTTTGCCCAGAATATTTATGGCAGTATGGGAAGGTAAGATATTCTGTTCTAAATTAATAATGATTAGTGTCATCACTCTTACTAAGAAAACAAGGCAGAAATATAGATTTTTTTACTGTCTCAAGAGCCTTTTATTGAATCTTTGCCCATGAGAGCATTGAATTTTCCAATCACGAAACATTTTCACTATTTTTGAGAAATTTTTACGAAGCATATGGTCTACCCAAACAATTTTCTTCTCCGGAACTATATTTCCCAAGTTCGCTAAAATAAATAAATCGTTGTTGAAGTTGGCCATTGGTCAAATGATTTTGCTAATCGGACGTTGCCACTTATTAATCACTATTTGGAACTAATGGCGCATCCGTGTCGTTAGCCTCCAAACCTTCGACCCATTTAATGAAATGGTTTTGATGCTCGTATGGGAAAGTTTAGGTTTGATATTGCATGGGAGAACGTGCAATAACCATTTCATTTTATGGCTTCCATACTCACTTATGGCTTCCATACTCACATTTTTACATATTATCATATTCATCTCTCTCATGTACTTCTTTAAAATATAAAACACTTCTTAACTAAATTCTATAAAAGATATTGCTTAAAATTTTTATATGATTTATACTGGGTTGCGTTTATTTCGTTCTTTTATTTGATTATATATCTAGTTATATTTTTTAGTCCAGAAGTGGAAATCATTTAAGAATTAAAAACTGATTATCATTTAATGATAGTAGAAACCTATATATAAAAAAAATGCTCTAATAACCTGAAATATTCAAGCTCTATTTAAAAAAAATCGATATTCTTTACATCTTGGTCATTACTAATCCAAATATCGTACTTTAAACTTATAGTACCTTTTGCACTATTAAAGCTGATATGTTAAGTTTATGAATGATTTTGCTACACAATATATATATTCTGGTCAACATATAGTAACAAAAGTTATTATATATATATAGATATATAAGCTAATATAATGTAAAATTAAAACATAAATTTTGTTATTCTTTTGTAGTCAAATGGTTTCAGTCCAAAACATTGGGAAAATTTACTTAGAAAAATCTTGGGTAAACAAGACTTATTACCCAATTGGAAAGAACACATAACTGGTAAGTACCTTGGTCTAATTATTTATTATATTTGAATTCATTCCACTTTTTTATTCAAGAAATTCTTAACAACTTAGTTGCGGAATTGTCTTTTGAAGAATTACTACAATGTTTTCCCAGTGAAGTAATTCAAAGTCATAGTACAGGTACTGCATTCAAGGAAAACTCGTTAAAGGAATCTCATATTGGTGCAGATGCTGCTGTGGATGATACAGCTTCCAAAACAAAAATACTTCGTAACCATTTTCCTATGGACAATATTGACGAAAATAATGTCTTCGAATTAACTTTACGTAAGGCCGTTTCAAAGCAGCGCAGCATTGCACTTCGTTCAATGATCGAAACAACTGGAACGCAATTATTTGACGCCACGAGTAATCCAATGTACAATATCTAAATATTGGACATCCAATGTGAGAAAAGTGTTTAATAGTTTTATAAGTCGAAACTCCGTTTTTATTTTTTATAGTAATTAGAAGATTATTTAGACAACGTTTTTAATACAAATTATAACACGAAATAGTAGTTCAACCTTACTAAAATACTCAGTATACTGACCTGTTATCCAATATACATAGGATATTCATATATATTCAAATTTTAAGTATTATATGCAACATATAAGAATTTTATAATAATTATTTATTGTAGTTTAAAAGAGAAATATATAACAGATATATAGGAAATAGTTGGAATTAATATCAGAGTAGTAAAGTTTATTTTATCTTTCTCATGAGCGTACCATTTAAAACAAAGCCAATCCCTGAAATGTATAATTTTTTAAAAGCGCTTCCATAGTCAAAATTTAAAAATTTCAACAATTGTAGGAAAGACATTCCTTTTATTTATATGAATTATAATTTACTATGAAATAGTAAATATAAACTTCCAAATGTCCGATGAATATGGGACTTTTCATTATTTTCAAGTTTGTGAATCTTGATTTGGTTTGTTATCTTTATCTATGTGTATTAAAAGGTTTGTGCTCATTCTTGAAGAAGTTATATAGACTTGATACAGAAACTCTTTGGTGAAACGATTTTACACATTCGTCGAAACAAAAAGCTTTAACTTATAGCTATCGTACATAGTGACTGTCATATAAATGTTTTAAATAGCGTGCAGGACAAATGTAATTATAATTAAATGACCATAAAAGATTTTTTCAAGTGTGGACCACGTTGTCATATAAACTACCGATTCTATATAAAAAACTCAACATATTTTAACTTAATCATTATTCAAGCATTTTAAAATATATCGAGTATTACAACCAAGGCTTGTATTAATCTGATAAAATCAGAAAAATGCTTTACAACCCTACAATAACTATATATAATATATATAGCTAAAAATATCTGCATGATAAATATTTAAATTGTATTTAAATTGGTGTGTTGGACCCTTCAAGTATAAAATGGTTTATTAATGTGTCAATATACTTACAATTCAGTGCATGAGATATGGGAGATCATAGAAAACATTTTTATTTTTAATTAGCTGGACTAAATGAATCAATCAGTGACGTCCGTCTTTTTTTCTATTATTATGAAGACTAATTTCTCTGTTTTTAATGAATTATATTTTGCATATACGCTTTTGAAAACTTTTGTTGAAATGACAAAAACCTTCAAAGAATGACTACATTATATGAACGTCGTATGAATAATCAAAATTAATTTTTATTTTCAATATTTATAAAGACTTTGTTTAGTGTGTCATGAATATTTATCACTCTTTTAGGCATCTTCTGTATTTATCAATAAAGTCTCCCAAAAATTTACACTTACCCATTTTTTTGTGGGTAAGTATATATGTATATATATAATTACTTAAATATATCTTTTTTTATTTGCATATTCTATTTCAAAAGTCACAAAAAACCTTAATAAACAATGTCTGCTTTGAAATATTATACAAATATAAGTATATAGTTTCAAATATCGGAATATATTGTAAGCATTCGTCTTAAAATTGTTTCTATTTCATGCTACAACCATAGCTTCCTTATGGATTCTAATTTTTCCATACATTCTAACTTGTAAAATAAACTTAGTTGATTTTTTTAATTCCGTAGAAAAGGTCTGCGATAGATTTTTGTCAAACGATTGATCATTGAAGAAGTTGTTTGTTTCGATTCAAACGACAAGTACTTCCCATCACGATATTTTTTGAATACTTCTATATATATATTGTAGAAATATAATGATGGAATTATATTATTAAATATCCAACCAAACCATATCTATCATTAATTTTCATGAACATTTATTTGTCTTTGAGATACACAAGCGCAAAGTCGCAATAATTTTCTTTAAAAAACTCGTAGAGACATTCATTGAATAAATATCATACCATTGAATGGTATGTTGGTGATATTGAATTTTACAATTCCTAACTTAATTATTTTTATTTAAAATATAGCATTTATTTATTAGTTAAATAAAAAAACCAACGCAATTTATCAAATAGTGTTAAAGATATAAGCCATCAAAAATAATATAATACATCAAAACTGTATTTCGTTGACAAAACGGTGTTGGCTGCATTTACTATATTTACCTATAGTAGACTAACTTGAAAGGAGTGTTAGGAAGGGTTGAACCCCACTAAAATATAATTATATATTTTGTGAAATAGGTCTGTGCATTTTTGGTTTGCCCATATTCATTTTTTTCCAACGTATTCAAGACAAATACAAGATTAATTTTTGTACGAAATATCTTATAATATTTCAGTTTCTATGGGAGTTAGGCGTTGCTTTCGTCTGAGAGCTTCATTTTCTACTTTTCTTTTTTATTTAAAATAAAAATAGCTACGTAGAATTATGAAGTTCTAACGACAACGCCTTCAACATTTTCAACCTAAATCTGAAGGCATCCCACTGTCTACCGTTGAGAAGTACTGACCATACGTATTAGGTGTAAATTCCAGAATATTTTACTAAAATTGAGATAGGTTAACCTACAGTTAGAATGCAAGGTCTTATAAACGAAATGTTTTTATATTATTACATTTCCTCATAAAGTTCATTATCGAACAACTACAATTAAACCATTATCTATGCGCACTGCTAAGTGCCACTTATTTTTCCCAGCAGGATCACGAAATGCAGGTCATGTTCTTAAGCTTTAACACACACCAAATAGTGTTGTCAAACATTTTATAGATTGAATTAATTATAATGTATAGTATTCATACAAGCACACATTTCTAAACTGAACCACTTTTGTAAGTAAATGCTCAGTAAAGTTGCGGGTAGCGTATTTAAGTTTCAGCACAGTTAAAGCTTACTTTTTATTTTGTCTTGGCTTTAGTTTAGTGGATTCAAAAATACTTTTTACTCTAAGTAAGGTTCTTCAAATAAAAATAAACTTTTTTATTCTAACATATGTAGGTGCACCAGAGATATTTGTTAGAATCTCAGATTGCTTGTTAAGTTTTAGCGAAAGAAAATGGCTAACAATTTCAATTTCTGATAGTTATACTTTTCATAGACTTGAGTATCAATATCCTTAAAATTGTAACCATATCTAAAAATTTACCCTTTATATTATAATAAAAATGTGTTAGAAATCCTATATACACATTTTAATTAAAGTGCTATTCCCATATATTTTGTTAATCGTAAGCTTTATATATAATTTATATATATTATAAGAAAATGTGATGCTAACTTGTAATTGCGTATACAAGTAATGCCCAATATGCGATGGAACTCCAGTAGCTCGTTGCAGTAGGTAATTACTCTCGCTGTGGTCCAATTGTTTAGTAGCTAACCTCTCTAGCTTAATCTTGCATAGTACTAGAGTAATGTATTTGCTTAACTTCTAGCTACTAACAATTGCAATTTCCAGCTGCTGTATTTTAATCGAGCGTTGGGTATAAGTACCATTTGGTATCTTGATCCGATACGTAGCCTTACGTACAATATTTATTTGTATTATTTTTTAATGCAGTGCTGCAATATTCTAAGTTTACAGTATTTTTATATATTACTTTATATATTAATTTATGCTAACATGTCGCTAGTATTATTATTATTGATGTGTTTTTACTTACTTTTAATGAATCTGTAAAATTCCAATTATGTGATTAATTTCTATTTATACAAATTCATGTTTTAATAAAAATTTATATATTAAACTTGTTTTAAAATAAGTTGTTATTTAATGTACAATATTTACAATCTTAGTTCCATTTAAAGTTGAAAATTTGGAATATTTAGCTAAAATTAATTTACTGATAGTTGATATCGATCGTAGTTAAATACATTGATGTTGAAAAAATAATCCGTAGTTTATTCCGTGATAAGCCCTAATCAAGCTTTGTCTTACTCTTCTTCTCTTCTTATAAAAATAAAATTCAAATATTTTATAATTCTTTGGACACACTTAAATTACATACTTGTAATGGGTTCATTATTTGTGGAACACTATGATCTATTAAATACAGTTATTTTTAATATGCTACGTCATCAAAAAAAATGCGATACCACGGATAAATGATGTTTATACGCTAGATCAGGAAGCCCACCAAAAAAAGGTATAAAGATTTAAGTAGTTAGCTTCCGAACAAAGTTAAAAAAAAAACGCGATTTCTCAATTTAAATAAAAGTGAACTAGTAAATCACTAAACTTAGCTATTCCCTTAATTTTGGAGGATGAAGCTCTGTCAGGTCAGTAAGAAAATGTACCCCAAAGATTCTTACAATTTTACAGGTTACAGATGAGGTCTTACAAACTCGTGTAAGATGGCAATTAGTTTCTCCTCTGTAGAACTACAACAAAAGTCATCATGATGTTGACGCAAGACTGATACTAGTAAACACCAAATATGCCACCATATATATGTCGGCTCTTGTATTTTTACCAGCGATATCACCAAACGTTCTTTGCATATGGTCGCATTGTTTATTAAAGAAATATATTGTAGCAGGGTCCACAAACAAACATTCATTATGTTATCACTTCCAATACTTGCAAACATTAGACAGACAGAGAAACTATCAACATAAAAAATTTTTTTTTTAATTATTCTGAATTCAAAAACTTTGATGAAATTAGGTGATACATGAATAGTTTGTTAGATATCTTAAGATTGATACCTTAAATACAAAATCTGATTTTCAAATCAGATTAACGTTTTAATACAAATTAACGCTTAATCGAACCCCACTAAATTAATGTCTTGTTTCTAAGCTTTGAACCAAGACAAAGTTGTATGCAGTGAAGTAAAACCATTTTATTATTTAATACGGGAATATATTTTGGAATAAAAGTCATCTTCACTATCGATTGAAGCTGTCTTACATATATTTAAAATTAGAAGTTGGCGCACATTTCTAAATAGTGACATAACCAAATATTTTGGATGTAGCGATGAAATATTTTATTTCAAAAAGAGTGGACATGCGATAATATTAAGGGTATGGACATGTAAAATGACATATATGGTAAATCGACACATATACACAATAATATCAAACCTACCCTATATCCAATACGCACATCGGCAACATAAAGATTACCTTACTTACTTATTTGGTCATAACAACCCGTTGCCGAGTTTTGGCCCGACGCAGCATGTCTCACCAGGCGTCTCTGCTACGTGTTCGCCTTCTCCTTTCTCTTACATCAAATCCAATTAGTGCTCCCTCAACCTGATCACTCCACCAAAGACACGGTCTACCTCTACATCTTCTACCACCAACAACTGCTTCAAACACCTTTTTCTCTAGAGCATTTTCATCCATTCTCACGACATGACCAAGCCAGCGAAGGCGCTGGATGTTAATTCGCTGAAATATATTAATGTCGTGATAAAGTTCGTACAGCTCGTGCGACATTCGTATGTGGTAGTCGTTGCCAACTCGTAGAGGACTAAAGATCTTACGAAGAAGTTAAATAAAGTTAGTTAAAAATAAATTGCAATTATTTGCTGTGAGGTTACCTATAACCTTTGTGCAAAAACATGTCTTATTTGATATATTCGGTTATATCTGCTGTCTAAGCAAAAAATATCGACAGCAGTTTTTATCAATATTTTACAATCATTTTAAGGTCAAATGACTTATATTACAATAATCCAATTGGAAATAAAAATCCAATTAATATTTCAAGAAGTTCACTAATAAACTGAACTTCTAAGCACAAATTAATTTTTACAAATTTAATATTCATATCAATATTATTCACTATTATCACTATTAATTTATCGGAACGTGTTAGATTTGCGTACGACTATCAAATAAGTTATTTATTGAAATAAAAGTTCCAATGAAAACCTCACTTATATAAAAAACCAACAATGTCTGTAGTAAGTATATTTATCAAATTCGATGAAATCGAAATTCATTATCTGCAATTAAATCGATCAAACAGATATTGTTATACACAAATAGTTGGCATCAATGGCGGATCTAAAAAGGAGGGACCCTATATATCTATACCTATTCATATGTATATTATAATAATTTTGAAAATGTACTTATATATATTGTATTCTACTTCTTCTGCTTTACGCCAAAGAACATATTCTGTTCTGAAGATAAAAAAAATATTTTTAAATGCAACCCAGGAAAATGTAAAATTTACACGCCTGGGTTTAGTGAAATTCTATAACGGATTTATTCTCAATCTTGAAGAAGCGGGTAATATGTTTATACACATTTAACGTTGATAAAAGAAAGTTAAGCATAAATCATTTTATATAAATAATAATAAACATTTGATTAGCCTTAAATTCTATTACTCTTTCGGTTTTTGATATAATATTGTTTGCGATGTCTAATCTTGTATATATATATATATATATGGTAAACAATTATATAAAATGTATTTATCTTGTATTTCTAAATTTGTATAATTTGGTTTTATTGAGCCATTGGAAGTTTCTAGATCCGCGCCTGGTTGCCATGCAACTATCCGGCTCTGATGCAATTACTTTCTGTTAATAAATTCTCAATAAATCTGTGTACTTAAATTTAAGCAAAGTCAGTCATTATTCCCATATTTTTATAAATTTTCCTTAAAATCGTATCGATTAATTTATAATTTTCTATCAATATATAATTTCAAACCACTTCAAATCAAGTATTTTAATATATCGGCATATACAAACTAAAGCACACCCTACAATATTGTAAATATTTAATTCAATTTTACAACATCACAAATTACAGAATCTTTAATAAAGTGTTAAAGTCCATAATCAGGAAAAATTAACTATCCATCTTATAATATTTTTATACCTAAGAGAAGCAGTAATGGAAGATGTAGGTATGCAAGTGAAGTTCGTAAAATGAGTTTATGATGGTACACATTACATAAGATGTACGGGTCATTACTGCATTTAAAAAATAATTCACTTCAATAGCAGTGATAAAGTTCAGATCCTCAAAACCGGCTTTAAAGCCAGACAGAAACTGAAGACGCTTAGTTTATTGCATATTCTGCATTCGTCACTCGTGTTGTTATTTAGCTTATATATAGTATAGGTATGTGTTGTAACCAGATGTTGCTCGGTTAAAATTCTAGCCAATATTCTGAAGTTCTAAAGATCAGTTCTCCCTTTCTTACCGACTTGACAGAGCAGTCATTCTGCAAAATGAGAGACTTAGCCAAGTTTATAGACTTGTCATGTTAGCTCACTTTCACTTGAATGGGGGAGTCGTGCCTTTCGGTGTGGCTCATACGCTGACCTCTAGTCTGTGTATGAACAACGCAATTCGTGGTATCACAACGGGCCATTATTTGAGCTCAAGTGGTCTTTAGGCACAAGGCTAACACTGCAACTAAACTTAGCCAATGCAATAATCGACAACACAGATTTATGGTATTTGATCAAATATATGCTTGTATATGATACTGGGGAGATTGCAGGTACTTAAGATAGCTGCCTGTCACTTCATTCAATTTATTCATTTAGTTGTTTGTGAATATCATACATAGACCTAAGTACCTCGCTTATTTGATCCTCTGCAAGGTTGATAACAAACTTCAGCATTATCATCATTTTCTCCTATATCTCCTATACCGAACAACCTACAACTGTGACTCAATCTGACTGTTGCCTTTTTGCCCTACAGAAATAACTGCTTTAATTACCACTTGGCTGTCTTCAAAAAAAAATGTTTGTATTGTTAGTTGATATTTCTAAGAATATGTTTTGTTTTTCTAATAGTAAATACTTCTGCCCGATTCATACAAGAGTGGAAAGTAAGTCTTTAGTAGAAGTCGGTTCCAACTCCACCTCATTTTTAAAATCAACTGAATTTTCGTTAAGTTTATTCGATAAATAATTGATAGAGAAAGTTTTAATAATTAACATACTTTTAACAATTTAGTTTTAACCAACCGGATATATTTTCCAGGAATGTAATCTTATATCAAGCGTAAGACTGAATTTTGTTTCCAAATTAAGCAACGATTAGTATTTCGACAAAAGTATGCCATGTGTGATTAACATTATAGCAGTTCTTTCAATATCTATAAATGCTTCATGCAAGCACGTTTATTACTTAAATTTGATTAAGAGGTCGTTTTGAATATATAAATCTTACTGATTATAGGGCATCTCTCATGTTATGTTAATTCCATGAGATATCGTATTGATGACGTATTGATGGGATGGAAGTTTATAAAATCTGGTATGTGGAAAATATGCCCGGCAAGAACTTTAAAAAGAGTTGCATTTCTAATCATATTAATCCATGAATATCTATATAATAAATGTAATTATTTGATAAATTTATAAACCACACGTATATATAATTGCTATTATTTATAAAACTACTTATTACAATCAATCAGTCTATGTAAATTAAAGTGCCGAGAGTAAAGCTATTAAATCTAAAAATACAACTTGATAAAGAAATATCTATCTCTTGCTAGATCAGCGAGTTGTTTACTACATCAATAAAACCTTTGATTAAAATATATACATAATGAATGAAATAAATATTAAGCGATAAACCCTAAATAAGTACCCATGAATTTAACATATATGTATAGCGAATAAATATTAGAAGCGAGGAGCGAAGAACCTAACACTCTTCTAGCGCTCTTTCAACAAATAAGCAACGAGGTTTTGAAGATTAGTAGTCCGCTCCTGTTTATTTTGAGATTCATAACAAGTAATTCATTAAAATTCCACTTTATATGTAAAATACAAATACATATATGCACATATGTTTAAATATATATATATATATATTATTTATTTTTAAATTCTCCTTACACACTTCAAAATAAAAAGTAAATTCATTTAGTAAAAAATGTTCAGATATTCGAATAGTCGCTCTGTTTATTTCGATCAGGGGAGTTGCGTGCTCTTAGAGAATTTTGTCCGCGCGGGAAGTGAATATAAACAAACTCTATATTAATATTAAACTATTAAAATAAATATTATAATAATTATAGTTTATTAACTCATATTAAAAACTAAATACATATATGCTTAACATTACTGAAAAACGGCAAGTATGTCTGACGCAAATGAGCCGCAACATCTCAATGGAAAAAAGAGCAACACTAACAACAGTGATTATACTCTCGATGCTATACTGGTGCGGATCGGTCAGTTCGGCACCTATCAGATTATAAACTACATACTACTTTGTTTGCCAATGATATTTAATGCATTTTTTTCCATATCATACGTATTCACTGCCAGTCCAGTTGTTCACAGGTAGTTTACGTGAAAACAGTGCTCTACTAATCGATTGTTTTTAAATTGTGTTTATTTATTTAAATAAGAAAAAAATAATATTAAAATACATCATATTTCTAAATTTTTTTTTTTTCCGCTATTTGCACAGATGCAATATATCCCAATGTGATAGTGTAAACAGCGAGTATTTCGAATCATGGACCGATTTTACTATTCCAAAGAAAGGTTCTGATATCGATCAGTGCAATCGATTTGTAACCATAGACAATGCAACTTCCGCGATATCATTCTTTACCGAACCATCAAGTCCTTTTTGTATTGAACAAAATTTCGATAAAAAAGCAGTTGAAAAATGTGGAAAGGATTTTAAATTTCGAGATCTGGAATACACTATATCCAATGAGGTATGACTGTTTATAATTTTAAGATTATCTTTAAATATTTGCATAAATCTCCCGTGTGATATAACCTAAGAATTTTTTATTAGTTTGGTTTCTTCTGCTCTGAAGAATGGAAACTCTCAATGGTTGGTACGATTAACAACGTGGGTCAATTTGTTGGGATTCCATTAGGTGGGCTTTTAGCTGATAGGTAAGAATACATAACTAAATTTTTTGAAATATATGATCATAATAAGGAACTTGAATTGTTAAAACAAGTTGAGTTTAAGAGATAAGTTCTTTTACAGTTCATACAGTTCCAAATTGGAACATTGATTCTTACAAATAGTGACGAATATAGATTTTCATTTTTTTAAGTTAAAGAAAGTCAAGAAATAATATGAAAATAATAGAAATTTTTTATTAACATATCCAAATATTTTGGATATACCACTCCCTAGAATTAAATACAGTGGATGGAATCTGACTTTTAAGCTAAGCAATTCCCATAGCTTCCTTTTACTGTTGATTGTTAAAATTTTAAATAAATTATGTATATGGTTAGGTGAGGTAGGATAATAAGAGGTTTCCATTTTTTAGTTCACCCAACAAAGGATGTTGCTCTGTCTTTTTCAGCTAAGCAAAGTTATCTCTAAAGTAATTGGAAACGAAATAGGTTTCTTAATTTTTTGTAAAAAAATTTTGACACTTTCGTGAGATTCCGAAATTTAAAGTAATGTCTTAAGATTAAGCAGATAGAAAGTAAAATTGGTTTTATTAATTCAATAAAAATATCTCGTTACACTACGACCTGAAATTCGTCCTTAAAAGTGATATTCAAAAGTGGATTTACCTAAACGTGGCCAAAGACGTGGATAACGAAATCGATATGTAAACACCTCAAAACCAAGTACCTATAAATCACATTTTAGTGTTGTTCTTAAGTATAATTATAGCTTGCAACAAAATAATTTTCAGACTTAAAAATACTTCTATCGTTTGACATTTCAATTTCTGTATGAACATTCTAATGGGTTTATTAGCTGCAAAATTTTTTATAGTTTAGTTCCACTTTTTTTATTGATTGGAGCGCAGATGAAATGCGAGAAGTCTTCAAATTTCTCCGATTTTTTTAAAAACCCTATTGATTGACAGAAACAAGGCAAATCTATAGCCAATCAGGACTAATTATAATGAAATTAGTTGAATCATTGAAGTGTTTAGAGATATTAGTTGTGTCTTTTCTAAGGTCAATCACAAAGATCCCAAAGAATCCACTCTTTTGCACTTGTAACTTATTTTTATTCTAACTAAAAGTACTCACACCGTGTCTAGTTTATATCTTAGATCTTATTTACGCATGATGTCACCAAAGAAAGAATACGCTGTACTTTAAAGTTTATTTTCTAATATATCCTTACTAGGAGCCATTAAATAAAATGCATTAATTTAGATTTTACAATACGAACATTTTTATTACAATTAAATTATTATATATAGTTTCTTGATCTTCTTTCAGATATGGACGTCGTACTATGTTAGCGATATCAGGTTCTTTAGCAGCATTGATGGGAATAATACGTTCATTATCCGTTAATTATTATATGTTTTTGTGTTTTGAATTCCTTGACATGGCGGTTGGGAGCACATTATTTCCCACTGCATTCCTTCTGGCAATTGAACTAGTCGGACCAAAGCGACGAGTCGCGGCTGCAACAATCATAACAATTTTCTATTCACTCGGTGAAGCATTGCTAGCTGTACTGGCTGAGCAGTTCCAGAATTGGCGAGTGTTATTGCGTATACTCTATATACCAGCAATTTTACACGTATTATTTCTTTGGATACTGCCAGAGAGTGTGCGTTGGTTATTAAGTCAAGGAAAAGAGGAAAAGGCAGTAAGCATTTTAAAAAAAGCAGCCCGAATAAACAAGCGTCGAATTTCTGAAGACAGTCTAGACAATTTAGTGCAGACAAATCGTGATAAACTCGAGTCTGCAAATGAAAGCCAATTTCCAATCAAGACAGCTTTTAAACTATTCTTCTGGCGCATACTTAACTGTTGCTTTTGTTGGTTTACGCACACCCTCGTAGCGCTCGGATTAAGTTTAAATTCGGTCAATTTGGGAGGCAATAAATATAACAATTTTATGCTAAATGGGTTAGTACAAATTCCTGGACTTATTGTCCCACTGCTGATAATGGATCGCGTTGGGAGAAGATTTTCCTTATGCACTTCTATGCTTATTTGTGCCGCCTGTATGGTGGGTGCAGTGTTTGTAGGAAAGGGTAAGTAACGAATAAATTAAATAACATGCTTTTTTGATATGTAAAATTTTTAAAATAAATACATATTTGCAGATAATTACGGTTTTGAATTGACTTTGTTTTTAATTGGAAAATTCGCTATTACCTGCAGTTTTCAAATCTTATACTTTTTCACGTCAGAAATATTTCCAACAAATGTGCGAAACAGTTTGCTCTCTTTCTGTTCCATGATAGGACGAATCGGATCTATGTTGGCACCTCAAACACCTTTACTAGTAAGATAATAATAAATTCTAATTGAGCAATAAATTATCCTTTTTTTTGCTTGTAGGCCAACATTTACGAATTTGCGCCACAGATTCTTTTCGGCTCTTTCGCTTTGGTAAGCGGATTACTGACTTTACTATTTCCAGAAACCACCAATAAAGTACTCCCCACAACAATAATGGACGCAAATAACTTAAACGGGAAAGAGAACATGGACAATAAATCTGACAAGACCAGTATGAAATCATGATGAGCAAAACAAAGAATGTGTATTTTTACTAAATTTTCATAATGAAAGACGAAAATTCAGAAATCTATTGAGGTTTTCGATAATTCTCTTTATAATTAATCTTATATTAATTAGTATAAAGAATATACTTTATTAAATCAATACATTCTTTAAGAAGATACTTGAGATACTGTTTGCGGATGTATCTCTTTTCAAATTTGAATATTAGCATTCATTAATCCGTTTACATCATACAATGATCCAAACTTCAAGTTCCAATGTTTTATAGTATATCGAAGAAAAACAGAAGAGAATATTAATATTTTTCTACTTTGAACTTTGTTCTCCATAAATTATTTTTTAAATATGAATTATTCTTGCAGTATTTTTAATGTGTCTAGTCCACTTAATTTATTATTTATTAAATAAATAATAATATAAAATAATTAATAATAATATTGTTACTAAAATATAAATTTATTGAATAAAATATATAATTAATCATTAAGTAACTAAATAGACCGCTTAATGAAAAGCGCCATTTGCTTTCTCGACCCACTGTATGTGGTTTGTAAGTAACCCTATACTCTTATAATCCCTCAATTTAAAATATTAAGGTTAAAGCGATATATGTGCCCTTATTGAATACAGCCATTTCTTGTAATGTGAAAAATATTAAATATAATATTATAACATTTGTGTATATATTTTTGTATTTTTTATTTGGAATTAAATTAGTTTGTACAATTTGTTAAGCAATATAACAGAGTAACAGTGGCATTAAATGTATATAGAAATATCCGAGTTTCATATAATCGACTCTGATATTCATCTTAAGTAAGTACATTCTTTTTATATCTTCCCGTACTACAAATATTAGTCTTCATACATTCTTTCATATTGAACACAACAAATTAAATATAATTATAAAGCAAATTTTTATAAAAAGTATACTAATATTTAAGTTAAAGAATATTACGACTACGTACTTCTAATATATGTGTATATATGTATATAAATATATAATTATTATCTGAATTTATATCATTTTATACTCCGTGGAGTGTATGAGTACCTACACAATTAGCTATACTTTCTTTCCAACAATGAAAACAGTTTTTGAGTTTAAGTCATTTAAAGGTTCCTCCTCATCGTATGCCTGAGATCTATCCGAGTTATCGTTTCTACGTCTATTTTCATGATTATCGACGTTGTTTTCTATTTCAATCCCTGTTGCATTTTCTATATTTTTTATATTGAGGGTTTGCATTTCAACAGGTTCAGTTTTCTCAAATACTGGTGGTATCAGGCGGTTGCTACAAAAAATATTTTACAATTAATTCAAATTATTAACTTAATATCAGAAATTTAAATTACTTAGAAAATAGCAGCCAAATCATAGACACCAACATCATAATGGAAGTGAAACCAAAAGTCCAATATGTCCCCAAACGAGTATATATCGATCCCACAAATACTGGCCCCATAACCCGTGATAAACAACCTATTTATATATATCAAAGCATTAAATTCTGTTTCCTTGATTTCCAAATACACATTACCTGATCCGGTCATTAGTCCCATCCAAACACCTTGTGGTCTGGGTCCTAAAACTTTGGAGAAAATAGTTTGTATAAGTGTAACTCCGATTGGATATCCAATTGAAGTAAAACCATAACCGATCAAAAATTGCGAAAGTGTAAGTGCAGGCGTGTCTGCACACCATGTTTGGGTTTTCGGGCATCCAACAAATATAGGATCATCTGGTCTTAGATCAGTTGTTATATTACCAGTTATTGGTATTGTTATATTGTAAACTTCTGCAATCTTAGGCGGCGAATCACCCCATGGTATATACAGCACACGTCCGAGGACCATTAGTGCAAAACCGCCCCAAATTAGAACAAAACGCTCTGGAAATATTTTACACAAAGGGTTTATGCCAACAAATGTAACCAGTGCAACAATGGCGCCAACAGACATTAATAAGCCCATATACAGTACAGCTTCATCGTTAGTCCAAGCGAATTGGTCCATAGTTAAAGAAGTTCCAAGTCTTATAATATAAAAAAAGGATTAAATAATGTTTTAGTACAACTGGGTACAGTTTTTAAAGTCACTCAATTAAGAAAAAGTTTGCAAATCCGATATACAGATAAACTATTTTCTATAATACAGTTTTAGTAACTATTAACAAAATCCAAAATATATTATCGGTTATCGAATATAAATGAGCATTTCATTGTATTTAAATATAGAACACAAAATTTATAATAATATTTTAAAATACGAGTGAAAAAACTACGTAAGTTGTCTAAACTGTAGTGTAAAAATAACATTTTTTTGAATCTCACACCAAATACTCACGTTTCAAGTAGTACGAAGTTAAACACTAGCACAAAAAAGGCGACAATCAAGGTCCAAGCTGAAACATAATCCGGTTTTATAGCTTTCCACGTCTCACGCTCAGAGGTTTTCCCTTGCATAATCATTATTTCACGTGCAGCAATTTTTCGTTCCTAGTTTATATAACAACATATAATATAATAATTTTATATATAAATTTTATTTTATTTATAAATACATAAATCAAGAATCAAAAAAAAAAATTACCTCAAAAAGGGACGGCAGAAACATTATAAAATTACCAATGCTCATCACTACATTTATCCAACCACAAGCTGTGTACATATTAAAATGAAATGTACCCCAAAATAATATCAAGCCATCACTGCCCAAAGGTGCTACGGCAGCTTGCAACCCGGGACCAACAATAAATCCCAATACTTGTGCTAATGATACCATTGAAACCGCTTTGGTGCGTTCACTTAATCTAGTTGCCGCCGATAAATATGAACGGCATACCGCAATATTCGCTGAGCTCACACCTATTAAAAATCGCGATGCTAGCATCCAATATTTTACATTATCAGGACGCAACTCTAATGAAGAATACGTAGCGCTTGCCACTGTAAATAAAGCCAATGATGTTAACAATGGGAGACGTATTGAGCCGAGTTTGTTGTACCACCAACCAAAAAGTGGGCTAAAAATCATTTGTCCCAAAGGATTCGCAGCCACAATGAGGCCCATAAATTCTTTACCTGCCGATGGATCTAACTATGTAAATGGATGTCTCTCAAATTAAATTTAAGGTAATTTAAAAATTTTGTATCAAATTGATATTACCTTATTTAAGTAGGGCCATATTCCTGTTAGGATAATACTAAATCCTAATGACATCAGAAACATCGTGAAATAAATAACCCGTACTGACCGCCAACGACTCTTATATTCTTCCAAAGTTTCCAAGCCGTCATTTTCTTCGTCAGGAATCTTTGACGTTTTGAAATAATTCCCGATTTTTTCCATATTGTGCGTATTTGTATTTGAGTAAGTGGCTTTTCTATAAAGTGGACACCAAAAATGTGTTTCTATTTAGTGATTTATGTTCACACGTAAGTAATTATCCTTCTAAGAAACATAGTCTGTAAAAGAAGAAATAACATTATCATTTCCATAATTTATTTATATTAAATCAATCATTTTCTTTTTAATTTCATATATCTTCGTTATGTATTTTTAAAATTAATAACGAACTATCTTTTGCTATTTCAAAGCAAATTTGTATTTCAAAACCTCTTAAGTCAATATTTTTAAGTTAATCACAATGTGATCTGCGGTTGTTTTTTTTCTAATTTTCTGATATTAGATATACATTAAGATACACAAGACTTTATTTTTCGACCCATTAATTAGGGTCTACAGTATTATTTATATTTTGGACTTCTCAATGAAGTTTTTCATAATGTATGTACATGTGAAAGTTCAATATATATTTAAGATTAAAATTGTTTAAACAATAGTTTTCTACTGTAAATAATTTTCGCTTTTATTTCCCATTTTAAATGCAATTCGCTGGCACGAACTGGGTTTAAATCCTACTAAATTCTGGTAGTTTCATAGCAGGAATGAAGTTTAAAGCACTCCTAGATTCTCAAAACAGTGTTAGCTATTTATCGCTAAAAACTAATAGCTATATATGTGGCTTACGGCCAACCAGATGATTCCAACCATTAAGCACTTTCTTATTTTACCTTAAATATGTTTACACAAACTATTATAAAAATTTATTTTGAAACTATTCTTTCGTTTTCTTTTTTTGGTGCTTATAGCTGGCACTTTGTTTTAATATATTTATTTGAATTAAATTGAGCATTGAATCTTCGTGGGAATGGAAGGAGAGGTTAACTTCGTTACTGATATGTATTAAGCTTTTAAATCTTAATCTTTTGATAAACCATGTAGACTGCCCAACAGGTCAAATTTCTTGTTTATAATGAGTGTAATATGTTCATTTCATTTACTTTGCTAACATAGTTAATAAAAAATTTTCTTTTTGAGTTTGATACATTTATATATATATTTGTATATTCTACATATACATATGAAATATTATTATTTTTTGGAGTCCTTATGTGTAATTATGGACTATAAAAATTAAAGTGAATATTCGAATAACGACAATTCCAAAGATTATTAATAACTGAAAAAATTTAAAAAAAATAATTTTGACTAATTTAATGAAACGTTTTCGTTCTCTATAATAGTAATATAGAATTTTAAATTGAATTATATTTTTTAAAAATGCATAAAATTTTTATTTTTGCTCGGTTCTAAAGAACCATTTTTTGTGTTTTCTCTACAATCGCTTAATTATTGCTCATTGCAATTAATTATTCTCTCAAAATTTTAATATGAATCACGTAATAATAATGAAGTTGTGGATCCTAAATGTTGACCTTAATTTTACTTAACACTGTCGGTAGTGTGAAAGATCAATTTATCGTGTATACATAAAAAGTCCTATAAGCAATGCCAGGGGCATAATCAGAAAACTAGGCAGGGGACAGTGTGGAAGCAACAATCTATATGAAGATTGAAAGGGTAGAAAAAAGTTTTTCGAATGAATTAATAAAATTCTTTGAAATTGAGTTCGGAAATATCTAGTATTACTATATACCTATTTGCTGTACAAGATTGTACGCATATCAACACTATTATATAATGCTTATATAATATTACACTATAGAAGTTTTACTTTGTTCTTTACCGGAAATATTATAAGAACCTAATGTAAAATAAAAAAATATTTGATATCGTTGACGTATATAATCTACAACAATCTATATAAAAAGTGAAAGGGCAGAAAGAGATATTTCCATTGAATTAATCATATTCTTTGAAAGTTGGAAATATCTAGTATTACTATATATCAATTGTTGTATAGGACTGTATGCATATCAACACTATTATATAAAACTATATATATAGTTTATATGTATTGTTTTGTGTACTTTTCCGGATATAGTATGAGAACCTGATGTAAAATAAATAATATTTGGCATTGTAGACGTTTTTAAATCCCATATTTATAACATAATATATCATATACCTTCTGCTCAAAAAGTATCGGATTTTGTTGTTTGATAACTACTCTTTAAGTAATAGACCTTTTTCGAAAATTTTTTGTTATGTTGGCACACTCTTTCTTGACATATGGTACAAATTTAAGCGCCATCTGTCAATTAGTTTGTTTACAGCAGCTGTTAATGTGAGACTACCTCAAGTGCATTTAATTATTTTTACTATGGAAAATTCACTGTCATCGCTCAGGCACCATATTCCCCAGATTTGGATCCGTGCGACTTTTTCCTGTTCCCGAAACTCAAATTGCCCCTTCGTGGTAAGCGTTTTGAGTCCATTGAATCGGTAAAAGAGAATACGCTGAAGAAACTAAAAGCCGTACCTTCACGGGCCTACGAAAAGTGTGTGGAAGATTGGGTTAAGGGTTGGTATATGAGTATCGCTTCAGAAGGAGCATATTTTGAAGGAGATAAAATAAATTTGGAATAAAATTTGAATTTGTGTGTTTTATTTACAAAATCCGAGTACTTTTTGAGCAGAAGGTATATAAAGTCCATATTCATTTTCATTGAAAGACTATCAAATGTAACAACATTGTACTGTGTTTACACATCCAATTACCGCACCTTTCTTATGCAAATTTTGTTTAAAAATGCAATTGCTGCACATTTATTGAGTTAATTGCGATAGTGTAAACATACTATTAATTTCAATAATGCTTAATGTTACTTAAATCAGAATTACACATACTGGTACAAAAATATGTTAATAAACACTAAACGCACTATGCTTTGTGGTAATAATCATTTTAAATTTTGTAATTCGTAAAATGAAGACTAAAATAGGTTCCGAAAGTTGTGGATCACAAAGAGATACTAAAATGTTTATTGCATAAATTAAACACATGAAGCTTTAGCTTTTATCAAAATAACTCCTTATCAAAGAAAATTATCTTTATACTAACTACTAAGCATATTTTTTTATAACAGAAAATCTAATCATGGAATACAATAAACGTTATTTGGCATAGACTGTCGTAATCAAACACTGAGGTCTTAGTATATAAATTATAATATTTAAATTAAAAAGAATAATAAAACACCGTGTTTGAGAAAGAATTTTATGTTACAAAATTAAAATATAAATAAATGATGATTGAGTTGAAAATGGATATTTTTTATTCTAAAGAAATTTCTTAATTCACTTTATTAGAAGCTTTTCTTTTTAGAATCCCAATACCCTTTATATTTTACAATAATATTTCACTATAACCCAGCAGAAACAATATTTAAACAGAATCTTATCTTGCAATCATCAATTAATAAGGTATGTAAAGCTTTCCTTATATGCCAAACTGATTATATGTGAGGAGTGGAGGAGTGGATACTTATCGGGCATATTCAAATTCAACCAACCTGTTAAAATTTCTAAAGTGGTTTGGTGAAGTGTTTCAAGGATATTCTGTACTATTGGTTTTGTTTATTTATTTCTAACCAAACTAAATAACTTTTGTTTGAATAGAAAACTAAAGATGGAATCAGAGTCACAGCTTTAATAATGTTAAAAAAGTTGCACTAAAAATTGACAAACGTCAGTGACAAATGCCCTAGCAAAAGTGGTTTGGTTTATAAATTGTTTGGACTTGGAACCCACTGCATATAATAAACTGCCAATGAAAATGAAAAGGATGTCTCAAACCATATATAGTACTGTTCTAAAAACCCTTTACAAAGTAGATCTGTACAACAAGTTAAGAAATATTTGACTGACATTACCAGACATCCAGAAAATACGATGGATGACGTAAAAATCTTTTAAAAAAGAAAAAATCTGACATATAGTATTGCCGCTATCCAAAAAAATACGAACTCGGAACCGGTAAGGCATAAGCTAAAATTCCGTATTAAAACAAAATTACAATAGATTTTTCCAAAGACCACTAATGACAGATATTTGGCAGTATTAAAAACAGTTGTATTATTAGTCTAAGAACTTCCTTCAACTTCTTCCTTCTATTCAAAATAGAACTCTTATAATAGAAAACAACAATTTGTAATTTAAAGTCGGTTTGGTTTTTTAAGAATTTTTGCTTTCATTTTGATCGTTATTTTTACTATTTTAAGAGTCGCAGTTGATTTTGTATACCACTTACAAAAGATCCAATTGGCCCCTTAGAAAAATGCGGAGTATACAAGAACAACTGCGGCTCCTGCATTTACACTGGCCGAAAAAGGCTCATTTTGATCAAAAATCGAAAATGAGAAGCGAATGGCTCTCTGTATGAATGCGTCCCAACGTCGTTCGAATGTGTTCCAAAGTTCTTCATTACATTTTGACAGTTTGAGAAAGCTGTTTTTGATATATTTAAAAAAAAAGGTAAACAAAAGTTTGGTGGTTGCATTTTCTTGAAAACAATGCACCTCTTTCTAAAACTTCTACTTCCCAAAAAGTATTTAATCGAAGTTAAAAATATGTTTTCAGTATATATTTTAAGGTTTGAATGTATATTTAACCTTCATGCAACATTTTTTTGACACAGGCCAAATATCAAGCAAGTTGAAAAATCAGCTGTTTGAAATGAGAACAAATGAATTACAACAAATGTAAACACTTTCAAATGGCTTATTCAAAATGAGCCATTTTCGGCCAATGTAAACGCCATATTACCCTTATCAGTAAGGCTTGAAGAACACCTAGAAGAAGCAAGAGAATCACCGAAAAAAATAAACTTCAATATAAAATCAAATATCGCCAGACACATAACAACAGAAAACCATAACATCGATGGAGATAACGTTCAAATAAATAAAAACATTAGAGATATCTGGAAATTAAAAACGGCAGAAAGCATGGAAAGGCTAAACCTTTACTCAACGGCGATAAGGACAACGTATTATCATGACTTTTTAAATACATTCTAAAAAACAAACCCAAACAATTGACCGAACTACCTGTGCATAAAAAGCCTGAACAACAAAACCATAAAACCAGACCCATCCCGCCATCGTTTTTTACCTTTCACCCTCAAGGACAAAAACGATAACCCTACTAATTAAAATTA